GCCACATAAGGCTTATTCTCGACCATTACCCAATCTAAAAACACGTTAAAATTGTGCAGCAGCAGTATTCCAGTCAAACCAGCGAGTTTGGCGGTTTTGGGACATCATCTTTCATTAAAAAAATTTTTTTTCATTTTGCCGACGCGCATGGCTACGGCGACGCGCGCGCATACCAGAAACCGGAGACTTTTTTTTGGCCTTACTTACTTCTTTAGTTTTTGAAGAGTCGGTGGAAAAACACTTTTATCGATAAAATGAGTTGACGGATTAGTTTTATTGAACAAACTGTAAGATGATGTGAGCATTATGTCCGACACGTTGGACACGTCAGAACTTTAAATAAACCCCGCAAATAAACTGGCAAAATTTGGAAATACCAAACTAACAGTTAACTTTTAGCTTTTTTTCCTCTTAAGTTGGACCTGTAATGAACAGCTAGGCCTTAATCTTGGTTTTATGTTTTGTTTTTGTGTTCATTTTAGAGTATGACAACTCGAGAGAGATACTGGCCGCTGAGGTCAAAACAGGAGTGTAGGTACCTTTTCGTTTCTGCCAGGGGCAAAGGAGGGACACAGTTTGTCATATCTACCTATAGTTTTTATATTACTGGGACAGCAGTTCATTTTTTAAACAAGTGATTGGGTCTTCAACAAAACCAAACCACAATGAGTTATTCTGATTGAGTTTACTTGCGGTATTCGCTGCTACATGAACATCAGATTCGAACCAGCCAACAGATCCCGCAAACTCGGTGGTCGAGTGATAACGTTTGCAGTAGAAAGCAGGAGGTCGTGGGTTCGAGTCCCGCTTGAGTGAATATTTTCCAACCAAGTTCCATCGGGAGGCATGGGCGGCGCAACGCTTTTTCAAATTTTTTTTTATCGCGAAAGGGGCACTTTTGCTGTTGATGGCCAGTTCATTGACAAGTTCATTCGCGTGAAGAGCAATGTTGTTTTTAAGGGGCCAATTCTCATCTCGAGAGGGAAACAATTTTATTATTGCGAGAGGGGTGCTTGTGCTTTCGAGAGGTAGTTTTCCATCTCGAGAAGGTGCACAATCTTGTTAATGCGAGAGGGGTACTTGAGTTTTTGAGGGGCAGTTTTGCATTATTAAAGAGAGGAGACAGTTTTATTTGTAGCGCGATATATGCTTTCACACGTGTGCGTTGGAGAGGCAGTTTTGTTTTCATTCTTATCCGCGAGAGGGGCACTTTGTTGGCCTGAGAAAATCTGGGGGCAAGTGCCCCCTCGGTTCTGTCGCCGCTGTCGGGAGGTAACACTGTGACACTGAGTATACAGTGTTCATACGTCGGTGAAGGGCAAAAAACCTTTTATTTATTTGTTCTCATTTGTTTCAATTCAGATTTGTTAGTTCGTTTTTTTCTCTTCAGGCAGAAGAGAGGAAGTGGGCCCAGAATGATGATGTGCTCAGAGTTAATTATCGAGCGGAAGCGTTACGTCTGTTATCCCTCGCTGTTTGTGGAAGGTATTAACAATTTACGCATGCACTGAACATGTTCACATCAAACAAAAAAAATTGGCCTTGCATTTCGGATCTTGGCAGGACCTTTTTCAAGGTCTCACTTCCAGGATCCGAAACGTTAGGCCCTCAATATCTTTGATTCATTTCAGGTCAATCTAGTCATTCAGCAGTTTGCAGTATTCATTCACTCTTATAGCCTGGGCCCGATTTTATAGAGGTACTTAAGCACAATATTTGCTCCAGCACAAAAAAGTTTGCTGAATATAATCAGGTTGCCCACCGAAAGTCCATGCAATTGTTATGCTAAGTAAACAACAGCTAAATACCAGTCACAAGCAATGTACATCACATGGAGTTTTGGCCGATAACGTGATTATATTAAGCAAGTTTTTTTTGTGCTTAAGCAATTTTATTCTTAAGCAGCTGTATAAAATTGGGCCCTGTTTTATAGTGTTAAAACAGTAGAGTTCAACGTTCGGCATTGACAGAATCAGCTAGAAGCACCATCAACACGGTTTTTACCAATTAACTGATCCAGATTAGGCAAGGCCCGTACGCTGGACGGAGGGGGAGGGGGTGTTCGGGTGCCGGTGGTTCAACCACCCCCACCCCTAACTGTACGTCGCTGATTGGAGACTACCGTCGTAGTCTATTAATTTGTACCTATCCCCACTTACTATTAAACTGACATGACTTTAACAGTTTAACTGATCTTTGTGCGCTTTGGGAGCCGGTTTTAGGCTTGCTTTAATTGTCTTGTTTAAGTTGCGGATTGGTTGACTCATATTATGTACAAACTGTATTAGTTCGACGCTTTTGTGAAATATTCAGTATCTGGAAATTCACATCCCCTTTTTGAGTTCATCACTTGTTTTTCTCACACCAGATTCCAATGGCTTCTTGGATCAAGGAGAGGCCAACTCTTTCTTGGCTTCTGGTGACATTGACAAGCGGGGTCTTACTGAGGAATGTTGCCATGAGGGGTGCAAGTGGGAGGAGGTACTGGAGCATTGTTAGACCGTCTGAGGGTCGCACAGTTGCAATTACACGATCGGTCAACGTTTTCCCAGTTTCGAATTTGATTTAGTAACATTTGAGGTGATGGTTCTGTAAAAATTTAATTTCAACATCGCAGTCATACGCAACACTAAGACAATTCGGAAGGACGCAAAATTTAGTCACTGTGTACCTATAGACTCAAACTCATGAAATAAAGATGTCGAATCTGTTAGCTTTCCAGTGGTGAACTTTTTTTTAATGTTCTGTAGCTTTTTCTTTAAGCGTCACAGGTCTTATTCTTGATCGAATGGTGACGCTGTAAACGCGACCACAATATCGGGAAGAAACAGACATGAACCGGGGATTATTCACTTTTTGACGCGTTGCTATACGGCTCAAGTATTATTATTTTTTACAAATCTTTTATTGGAGATTTCAATGAATTTTCTAAACTGGTTCGGAAACGGGATTTTTCTAGTTGATGGTTGCGAGAAATTGAGCAGCGCCTCCATTCGCAAAAAAAAAAAATATGGGTGTATTGACGAATGTATTAACAGGGCAGAAAATTATCATATTGGGCAGATCATAAAAGGCATCCCAAGAGTAGTATTGATTATCCACCGTTACACCAGTGAATTGCCAATATAGGCATGTGATTATGGGTAATCGATTTCGGTAATCAAAATTATTAAAATGTTTCGATCGAACATGACTTAAAAGGTACACATTGAAGAAATTAATAGGGGTTGTTTTCAAAGACCCAATTTGAGGGTTAATTTTGTTCTTGGTTTTTCGTGATCTTCTTTTCTTTAAGTAACTCAGACATGAGATTTGAAGGTTTGCATGGTGGAAAGACTAAGACAAGATGAGTTTGCGGTAGCACCATGTGAATAAATCTCTTCAGAACCACACATACTCACAAAAGAAATTCATTAACATGGTGCTACCGCACACTCATCTTGTCTTTAACTCAGGAATAATGCAATGTTATCATTATGTACCGTTATCTTCATGACGGCTGCAGTGAGAGATTACATTCAACTTAACTTCCAAATCAGTGTGTGAAAATGGAGTGATGAATTCAAACGCGTCTTGAAATCAGTTCCAGTGTAAAACAACAAATATACCTTTCATGACTTGTGTCAAACACTCAAAGCAGATCAAGGCGTGGCCAGCGGGGCGGAGGGGTGGGGGAGGGGGTGAGGGGTAAGGGGTACCTCCAATATTTTGTAAAGACTGCCCTTTTCCATCCAAGTGCCCTTTTTTCACCAGCCTGCACTAACCCCCAACCCCCCCCCCCCAATTATTTGTAAAGAATGCCTTTTTTGTTGTTAAAACAAATACCGTTTCTTTGTACAAACAAGTGCCTTTTTTTACCAGCGGCCTTTTAAGAGTGCCCTTTTTTTTTGGAATTTCGCGCGACGGTCGGCAATCGTGCCGCACTGAATAGCGCTATATGTTGTCCGGTAGTAGTGTGCGTGATCGTCCACAGAGTCGTATGGGTGCAACAGTGCAATAAATTAAATTCCCATGGAAACTAGTGCTAAATGCCCCTACTTCAGAATTCTTTTAAAAATACTCCAAACTCTCACTGGTATTTTAGCTGCAAACGGTAAAAATGATGATCAACATGTCATCTTTCATTTTCTTTTCATTTTTTGGTGGGATGACAATTGACTTTTCGAGGAATTCTCACTCAAAGAAGATGACCCCTATTTTTCCCAAAGCGAAAAAGAAGCCATCTCGAAAAAGGATCCCTCCACGACATGGCAAAATAGTGCCACTTTTGAGCCCAATAGCATCCAAAACGCTCAGAATTGGATGCCCCAAATCCGGGCCAGAGGTTCATTGCCATATCTCTTCAATTACCCAATGCTATGGCTCTCAGAACTCTCTAATAGAGAATTACTTTTATTCATGAGCTCGGCGGATGGGTTTAGGCCTATTTACAGGTGTGCAACCGTATATTTTTTAACCCCACGCGCGTGCCCCGGCTGCGAATTATTTTCCTCTAAACATCATCATAAGGATGGTTGTTGAGCGCCTGCTACGAAAGTTTATTATACGTACGCGCGCTGGTATAATGCCATGAATACTGGACTATGTGTATCGACATATGCATGATTGTATCATTGAGCAACTTTCCAACTTTTATAAAGGCTTGAATTACAAAGTAAAGTTTTCGATGCACTAATCATATTCCATGCACTACTAATCATATTAGTTTTTTGCGAACAAAATTGTGTACACAAGTATGCGCGCGTGGATGAGAAAATACTTACTTAATTATGAAGTCATCGTTATTCCCCCCCCCCCCCCCCCAACAAAAAAAGCCGACATAAAAAAAACACAGCTTGACCGCTCCATTTTTGGATGGGTTTATCGCGATGACTCATTTTGATCAATTGTTACAATCTATGACCTTATTTATTTACCCACAGAACAGATACCATATAAGGCATTGGCGAGGACGCTATATTGTGTTATCAATGCATATTATACCGTACGCGAAGTGCGATACGCTATTTTCTAGTTTGTACTGACCGTGTATGCAAGCGTAGCATCCAGTCTTGCTACTGTACATGTACATGCATGTACATGTACATAACCGTTCGTGCACCGTACCCACAACCACCGAGAACTGTACAACTCTACAATAAACATGGACGCAACAGACTCTGCTGCACCTGCCGCCGTGGAAGGCTGGCAACCACCACTATTTAGCACGTCAACATGGCTTCTGATCATCACAGCCTGTGTTCTCCTATTTGTGTAGGTTGAGTATTTTGATATACGGCAATAAGATTGTTCCAGTGTTGAGCGTGCGATCGAAGTGGGCCCGTGCTTGTACTTGTAGCTGGCATTTGAAGGCCTGCATGTACATGTACATGTATATGGTTGGATAGGCCTAAATAAATGTATACACATTGTACTAGCCATAATGATGGTAGACTAGGGTGACCGTAAGGTCATTGCAAAATTCTGCTAGATGCGCTTCAAAAATATGCTAAATCACATATTATTACTGGAAATACATTATAAAGACTTATGCTTAAGATGTTATAGAATTTTCTAAACAAAACAAAAATCATAAAATTTACTTTAAAAAAATTGTGATTATTATTGTTTTTTAATTTGCACGACGTGTTAGCCAGGCTTGCAATGGTCTAAAAGTACTTTATTGTGTACATAATTACTAATGCAAGTCAGGGAACCGCAAGTGTGTTTTTCCAAGACAAAGTCTTTCAAATCTGCCATATTTTTTTGTCAAATCACCAATTTTACAAAATTCTTCAAACAATCTGCCATATTAAATCATTTTGCTAAATTTTCTGTTCAACTTAATTTTTTGGAAAATTGTGTCAAATTTAGCCGAAATTCGGCTAAAACGGTCATCCTGTGGTAAACTACACTGCAGGCCTAGACGTACTATACTGCATAGTAAAAACCTTACGCAGCACTTGTACATAATTTATAATACAATTCATTTGCATACAGATCCGCTGGCGCACCCACGGGGGTGGGGGCATTTGGGGGCTTGAGCCATCGCATCACAAAGGCCATCACAATACAACCTTAATTGGCTGGCCTTGGGAATGAGGGTGTCTGTTAATTTTGGTCGATGGCGTTGGGGTTGTTTTTTTTGCAACCACAGTCATTCACGCTGAACCACGTATATACGCTGCGCGTTGCGCAGCGCTATATTTGGGTGCGTTCGACGGTAGCTCACCCCTGCTTCTTTGACAGCATCCCGGTGTGGGCGGTAATTCTGTCCCTCGTTAAAAGTGTCCGGGGGGGACAGAATTACCTAGGTAAAAGTGTCCTCCCCGACCCGTTAATTCTGTCCCCCTTCAGGTAATTCTGTCCCCTCCAGGTTTTTTTGTCCCCCTAGTTTTGCAACGCAGAAGGCCAGTTCTCTTTATTGTTTTGATGAATTCACTCTACAAGTTATACATTTTTTACTTTTTAGTCTGCCCTTCATGAAGGTGAAAACATTTGACTTTTAGGTCTCTTTCTTAGATGTGAAATGTTTCGATCGATTCGGAGTACGGCAAAAATACAGCAAGGTCATGCACCACAGTAGCTCTATTCTATACGATGGACGCCTCATTGATATAACGCCTACTTGGATTGGTGTGCGTTCCCATCGTAGCGCGTAACGAAATTTCCTATTGGATGAATTTCCTTTGTGTAGCGGGATACACATCATGTACACACGCGATAAACGCTGCCACAAATCTTGCAGCATGTATTGGCGGCGATGCGCGCTCACGAGCACGACTTGTATCATCGCATGGGTGATACTTGCACGGGGACACATTTACCAGGAGAGGGGGGGGGGACGCTTTCAACGTTGGGCAGGGGGACATATTTACCAGGGAGGGGACAGATCTACCTAGGTAAATGTGTCCCCCGGACAGATTTACCGGGTCACGAGCCGGTAAATTTGTCCGGGGGACACATTTACCAGCGTGGACAGAATTACCTGCCACACCGGCCCACACTACACTGATTACTTAGTGATTTTCTTAGAGCATCCCGGGCGGGTCTCTTACAACATTCCATGTTCACACTGCACTGGTAGCATATAGGGTTGCTCTGAGGGAACCTCTATTGATCCAATTACAATCGTGAGTCGAGGGCCGGTTCTGAGTCCGGAGGACCATTTTCACTTGAAATGTTTCGATTCCTCAACATTTTCGCTTCCGATACGAGCTATCCCTGTACATGTGGAAAAAGCCCTCTAAAACGTAACACCGATTTAAAAAAAAAAAATTCAACATGTCCTTTATTACAGCTACGATTACTGGAGCCATCATTATCTGGCAAGATTGGGTATTCCCGGAGGAAACGCAAAGCCGTTTATCGGTAACACCCTTGACTTCATTGGCGACAAAAATGTAAGTAAAGGGACGTGTTGTATGATTCAGTTTGAGTATACACACTTCAAGGTCAAAGCATGGAGAGATATTATAAAACTGGTTTGCATTTTACAAAGCTATGTGACGGAGACGAATTGTGTGGGAAACGGTGAAGCTGTGCGTTCTTGGCCGAACGAGGTTGTTCACGCCCACTATTTTGCAGATTCCTAAAATATGAAATATGACGACGACCACTTACCATATTTAATCCTAAATTCTAAGTTACATTGCAATATGAATGTTGGAAATATGATAATAACGTTCTCTGCTTCAGAAGGTTTTTTTTTTATCTCATGACAACTACAGTTGTTATTAAGTGTTTGACATGTCCTGTTGTAAAGTTTCCCGAGAAAAGATTACATATTGCGTGTTATCAGTTTTTAGAGTTCAAACTAATCACATGATTCTAGCCACTTTACTCACATTTCAAAAATCTGCGTCTAATTGTTGATGGTTGTGATATGTGTAGGCTTAGGCTACTGTACGAAAGCTGGTTAGGAAGAATAAAACGGAAATTATTGGAAGTTTTGCTGTAACAGTTTGAAGTTAAACATTCTGACCATTGCAGGGAATACAAGGATACCACGAGAAGGCATTTGCTCGCTACGGAAAAATATTTGGGTAGGTAGTATGCATGGTTTGTAGTTGATAATACAGTATATTCATTCTTGCTTTTCCTCTTTAATATCGCGATTTGAAGGTAATTTATAAAGACACAAGAAGAGCTTAAGCAGGCGCGGTTCTACGGGGGGGGGGGGGGGGCTAGGGGGCTTTAGCCCCCCAACATTTTTTCTAGCCCCCCAAAATAAATTCCGTAAAAAGAATTTGCATTAGCAAAAAGAGGGATTGTGATGTACATGCGAACGGTCTCCCCCTAAAGAAATAGTTGTGACAAGGGTGCATTTGTAGTTAATATAGTGTGAATGATTTTAGGATTTTATTGGCGCTCCCCATTGAAAATATGGCATAAGCCCCCCCCCCCCTCCCCCACCCACCTATTGATTTTTGGAGGCCTAAGTGTCTGGAGAAAATAACCGGTCTACATTTCAGCACGCCTCCCTGAAAAAAAAATTTGGATCCACCCTGCTAGCCCCCCCCCCTCCCCCCCAAAAAAATATCGGTTCTAGAACCGCGCCTGAGTTTAAGTATGTAGTTGATTAACCCTACCCCCCCCCCCCCCCCCCTCTTTGGGGATACGTCAAGTACCAAATACCACAGAATACCACATTTGTTGTGCACACTTGTATGGAAAGAAATGCATACTACAGGTTACTACTCAGTAGTATTATGTAGCTTTAGGTGAGGTTAGGAATAAGTCACTCTATTTTTTTAAGCTGGTGTATGTTCTTTGGTATGGGACATGACAATTGTTGGTAGCGTGGCTATGCAAGAGCCTTTCAAAACGCCGTTCTAACCTCCCCATTTTTTCAAAAAAGCTTTTTTTTCAAACATTTTCCTTAACCTCTCGAAGTATTATGAACTAAAGTCGAATGATGGAACAAACGTATATCAGAAATCTGTCTTTGAAAAACAATATGACAACGATAACTTAGGCAAACACTCGGAAGTTAATCATATGAAATTTTCAAACCCAAACAGTCTTAAATAAAAAGGAAGCCTCTCTACCTTCGGACATATCCGATAATTCAATAAACATTATTCATCTGCCAGTACATACAACTTGTGCTTATTACTTTTGTTGAGGTCTTTATTTCTTCGATTTTATCGCTTGTTGGCATTGGTTCTTGTAGTTTTTATGTCGGCTGGCGCCCCGTACTACTGACTGCAGATGTCGATTTCCTCCGGATGTTGTGCATCAAAGATTTCTCTAATTTCACCAATCGGAGAGTAAGTATACACGCTGAAACACAACTTCACCAATATTGATAAGAAATTTACTGTTGACTTTTTGAGACATGATAAAATCGGAGGGCACTGGGTTTGGCTCAATTTTGCAAACTACACAAAACCACACTAAGAAACACACATACGTACAGTATGTCCACCATTTCCCCAAAAGCTACTTTCCCTCAAAGTCAGATGTTTGTAAATCACAAACATCGGTACAAAAAAGTTTTCAAAGACAAATTGCATTGTTATAATTTTTATCGTGTCTTAGATACTGTAATTTCATTGGTCAGGAACGGCCGCGCATCTAGTCCATACAATAACCGTTTACTAATATAATATACATGTACTGTGTTGAATATTCATAATTATGCACTGCGTTGCATTTAAATTACCTCTGCGTTGCACCTCAAGACTGAAACCACGGTCATATGTCTGGTAGGGAAGCTCGCAGGTACCAAGTTAAGATTCAATTAACTATCTCTTTTGACTCATTAGCATGATACACTAAACAGTTGTTGACTGCTGAATGTGATGTTGCATATGGCTCTTTTAACTCCCTCTTAGCCCCCCGGGTGTTAAAACGCCATATCCAACATCACAGCTGTCTACAGTAATTGTTGGTTGGACATGAAGGACTGTTTTTTAACCAGGCTGAATTCAAATTCGTCCGTAGGCCCTTCATTCGCAATGTGAAGCACTGAAATGACTGTTGTCATCATAATTGATGTGTTTTCTTAATATTTTGGAACATCAGAAGCAGGTGATTGACAACAAGCCATTTGACAAGGCCTTGACTGTCCTGAGAGATGACCATTGGAAGGACGTGCGTGGAATCCTTAGTCCAACTTTCAGCGGTTCCAAGATGAAGCTGGTAAGTTGTAAAAACTGCAGGATTTCTGAGGCTTTACACACCTTTCTTTTACCAGAGAGGGCCAGACTGATGTCCTCTTCTCTTCGACTTATAATGATACCAGTACTTGTTTATAGACCCCTCAATTTAATAAGTTAATATTTCTGACATTATCGGACGTTCTTTGAACATCTAGATCGTGTTTTCCCCCTAACAGAACAAACATACAACCAAAGCGTTCGTGCTTCTCTAATTATTTGAAATTACCAAACCCATTTTTGATGTCTTCTGTTCAGATGGCGCCACTCATCAACGGTTGCCTCGATCCTATGATCAGGAAAGTTGCTAAACACCATGAAGAAGGCAAGAGCTTACAGATGAAAGAGTAAGTCTACTGTTTCAGAATGACAATATGAATATATGTATTTATTTATACATGAATACAACTATTTCTGGTTACCTGTTGCAAAAACAATATGAACAATCAATACCTGTTGCAAAAACAAATTAAAAAATCATCTTTTTCGTAAGTGAAGCTGGGCCAGAGTACTCCCTTCCTGACCTTATACTCCAATTTGGTTTTTCGTCTGTATCTTTCAAACATTTTGGATCAATTCTTGTCTCTTTAACTCAACTCTTGACATTAAAAGTCAAGCGAGTTTGAGAGAGGTTGAGTTTAATTTGGGAATCTTCGAGACCATTTTTTTCTTAATTTATCAAATAACCCAACGCTTCGAATAGTGGCAATGAAACTAGCCAGGTCAATAATTGACCCCGTGCGCAGCGCACCATAAAGGAGGACAAGTTTTTTTGAATAAAATGCATTGACAACGAAAGTAACAATTCAGTGTCTATTTTTGCATGCATATCACAGAGGAACAAACAACTATCCTCACAGAGGGCGCTGTATACATGTGGTCTTTTTAAAATTAAGCCGCTGACTTTCTGTGTGGGTTTATCGGGCCTTTCTTTGTTCTCAGTATCTACGGTGGATATCTGATTGATGCTATCGGCAACTGCGCTTTCGGGCTGACCCTCAACTCGCAGGAAACTGAAAACGACCCCTTCCTCTTCCATGCCAAAGACATTTTTACTCCGACATTGAACTTGGCAACCTTCGTTATGCGTAAGTATACACTCTACGCCATGGGAGAATACAATGCCAGATATAGGCCTATATGTATGAATTCGGATGTATTATGCTTTCGATTGTTTCAACTAAATTGTGATTGGTATACATACATTTCTGACGGTGCGTTATTATTTCTCTCTGCATACTGAGAAGCTCCACTAAACGGGTGTCCCGATTTCTGAGTAGGTTCACAAAAGCTGGCAAAGGGATATTTTTTTAGTTGTCACGTTACACTGTAAAAAAAAAGTTTGGCAAAATGGGTTGATAATTCGACCAAATGCTGGTCGAACTATCAACTGCCTACACTCTTGGGCAAATTCTTACCAATAGTTTGAGACAGGTTTTACCCAATTCAACCCAATATGAGGTAATTTCATACCAATGCTGGGTAAATGACATTGCCCAACAGTGTTTTATCCAACCTTTTTTTTACAGTGTATGTGCGTGTTATGATAGACCAAAAGACAATCGCAACATGTTGTCAACTCAATTTGCACAGATTGTTTCCCGGATACCGCCATCTGAATGATCACGTGGTAATCTCTGGGGACATTTCGTGCAAAATAAGTCCCATCATGCCGTTGTATCCTGATCATGATGGGACGTATTTTGAATGCCCAAAAATGTGAAATGATCACTAATATGGTCGCGTTCCCGTGAAACGGTCTATGGGGAATGATTTAAGCCACAAGACCGGTTCATACTTTCACATGAATGTGAATGCGAATGGGAAGAGAAAATGACACCAAGAAGCATTCACTGTGAAATTCACCGGAGTTGGAATGTGTTCAACTTTTGCGAACTCCAAGGCGAATGCTTGCCGTGACTTTTCGCGTTTGCGTTTGCTGCGTGGAGTATGCATAACCGGTCAAAACACTGAGCAGTATGATTACATTACCTGGATACTGTTTTGTTTTCGTGTAGTGTTCGCACCATTCCTGGGTCCTGTGCTGAACTATTTCAACGTCCGTTCCTTCAAGCGGTCAACTATGGATTTCTTTGAGAACATCATGGACCAGGCAGTGGAACTCCGGAGGAGTGGAGCAGAGCGGGTACAATGTCCTTCAAGTCTATCAAAAAAAATTCTCTGTCAATCTCATTGGACATATATGTCCATAAGTAGAACGTTTTTATGGAGATCGTTGTATATGCATCGTTGACTTCTTTATTTATATGCAGTACATTAAAGTTTACCCCATTTTACCAAATTGGGGGTGCCTGGGCATGCAGCGCAAAATATTTGAAGCTTACTGACTGTCGATATGCTGCTCTGTACGAATAGGTATATACAATTTCTCTCGATATCAGCGGTGCTATTACCAAAGAAAGCACGTAAGCCCTGAATTGAATTGGCTGCTATATATGAAATATAAAAGCTGATCCTCAAAATCGAAATTACCTTATATCAATATGCTGATTTGTGTGGATTCACCTATTCAGGATGATATGCCAATTACGGCTTTGTAAAAGAGATTTCTCAGATTTCAACATGCTCAGTCAACCATGAATGTAAGGACATGGTCAGGGTGTCATTTTAAAGAGGAGATTCAACCCTAACAGAGGATATCTCCCTTTGATTCACATGTGCCCTACTTCTGTTCCAATTAGCAATAATATTTCGGTTTCGGTTTTTTTAATCCACCCTGTATAACGTAAAAGGGTGTCACCAATAAGGTAAAGGAGTCCAGATTGAGACCCATTGAGACCCATTTCCATATGGCACGTTACAGAATATAATAATAGAGTATCCTTCGGCGAGAAACTGCAGACATCTTTTCGTCGGAATTCAATCACTAGTCCTCCAATCACAAGTCAAGTCACAATATTCAAATGAACTGTGACAAAAAGGCAGCCCTTTTGATGTCGTTCATTTCCTGTACCCGTGAGACTGGACTTGTGAACCTGCTGACGACATTTATTGCTCCTTGTTACAGAGAATAGATTTCCTGCAGCTCATGTTAGACGCACACAAGAAATCTGACTTGACGGCTGAAGACAAGGCACAGGCGACCGAGGAAGAGAAGTTGGAAGAGGAACACCGCAAGCGCATGAACGAGAAATCCCTGACTATGGATGAACTCAAATCACAGGTGTGTGGTGCTCAGTATGTAAGCAAGTGGTGGAGAACCTTATTATTAACATGTTGAATTTCGATTATTACATTTAAACTTCGTGTTCCCGAAAGTTAATCAAGGAAAGGCCTACTCCTATTTGCAACAGTGAATGTTCTCTTTGTTGGCTGACAATGGGGTTTAGATATTGAGGAATAGAGTGTCCGCTTCAGCAAAGTCTTTTTAAACTCTGTCAATTTGATAGAGTAAAGTTCCACTCTAAAACGTCTGGTTCATATAGTTTCAAGTGAATGAGTGTAATTTCACTCGTTTGAGTTGAGATATTAATGATTTGTTTATCTGTTACTTTTTTGTCATTGAACGGAATGCTTAATAATCAGTTTCCTTGTTTTGTGGTCTTGGACAGGGATTGACCTTCTTTCTCGCCGGCTATGAGACCTCCAGCACGACGTTGGGCTTCGCCTCCTATCTCCTGGCAACCAACCCGGAAGTTCAGGACAAGTTGGTGAACGAGATTGACACCCTGGCCCCAGGACGCGATGACCTCACCTATGAGAATATCACCAAGATGACCTATCTGGACCAGGTCATATGTGAGACGCTGCGAATGTATCCTCCCGCTATCATGTGCGTATTGCTGCAAAATCGTTTGTTTGTTTGTTTGTTTTGCACTAATGTAATCAACGTGTTTGGCTATTATTATGCAATTCGTGTGTGACTTCTTTCGCATGTTGTGCCCAACCCTACATTGTTTTCGTCTATCCATGTCCCGGTGCGCTATCCTGTAGCTGTCAAGCCTTAATTCCTGCAGTTGATTTCTGTTTTAATACCCTCCTATTTAGCCCTACTACAAATTAGGGTTGTACAGCATCTTCGCTTAGTTTTCGGTGGAGTGTTTATTATACTCTTTGTTTTAGTAGTCGCATCGTAATTTCAAACGTGGATTATACTTTGTTTTTTTCCTCACTGGCTTTCAATCACTCTGTGCCAACGTCTACTGTGGCTAATTATAGAACAAAAGTAGACGACATTAATGTTTTGATGGATAATCAACAGCTCTGCTCGTGAGACAAATCGGGACTATCAGTATCAAGGATACACCATTCCCGAAGGCATAGAGATCTTCTTCTCAATCTGGCAGATCCATCATGATCCAGAGCTGTGGGAGAACCCGGACAAGTTCGACCCCGACAGGTATGTGCATCCGATCTTTCTGTCCCTGTCATTATGCCTTAGATAAAAGAGAGATCCTTCATGGTCCAAGTCAATCACAAGTCAATCACAAGTCAAGCACAAGTCAGTCACAAGTCATTCACAAGTCATCACAAGTCAATCACAAGTCAATCACAAGTCAATCACAAGCCATCCACGAGACAAGCACAAGTCAATCTCAAGTCATCCACGAGTCCATCATAAGTCATCTACAACTACAAGTCAATTACTAGTCAATCACAAGTCATCCACAAGTCATCCACAAGTCATCCACGAGTCAATCACAAGTCAGTCACAAGTCAATCACAAGTCATCCACAAGTCATCCACGAGTCAATCACAAGTCAGTCACAAGTCCATCACAAGTCAATCACATGTCAATCACGAGTCAATCACAAACCCACCACAAGTCAGTCTCAACAAGTCCATCACAAGTCAATCACATGTCATCCACAGGTCAATCACAAGTCCACCACAAGTCAGTCACATGTCCATCACAAGTCCCCGGCCAAAATATTGGTCAGAGGAGGTTTGCCTGATTTCTATTATTATTTCAAGGCCAAACAAAAAAAATATTCGGTCTCTGGTCAGACCAAAGTTCCGGAATTGACGCGGCCACGCGGCTTTTTTTTTTTTTTTTTTTTTTTCTTTTCTTTAAGCTTGGATTGTACAGACAAGGTGGGGTACTATTTTGCTTTTTTGGTGTTCTCATGTACATTGGTGTCCTCCATAATTTGCCTTGGTGCTTTCGATCATTTGCCTTGGTGCAATTTCCCATTCCTTGGTGCTCTTTGGTAAAAACAAATTTAAGGAGGTGCGGAAATAGAGGGCGCTGTTGGAGCTACCGCGGAACATTTTGGAGAAAAAAAGATCGACGCGCATGATTAAAATCGACGCGTGCGTTGACCAGAGACCGACTTATTTCTCTTTTTGGCCTAAAGATAACAAATGCCTTTTGTATTTACAGGTTCACACCAGAGCAACGTGAGAAGCGCCATCCATGTGCTTGGATTCCATTTGGTGCCGGCCCTCGCAACTGTGTTGGAATGCGCTTCGCACTGCTGCAGGTTAGTTGTTACAATGATTAGCAATAACAGCTATTCATCTAACGTCAACCAAGATTTTGCCAAGATTTTAAGGCCACTTAAAGCTACAGTCCATCATTTGCAGCTATCCGAAAAGTAACTGGCGTAATTATTGTTGAACAACATACTTGGTTGAAAGATAGTATGGGACAAAACTCCCTGTGAAATTATTCTTTCTGGCAAGCTGTCATTTTGAAGTGATCAACGAAAGAAGGCCTTTCCAACGGTGCTTCTTAGACGCACCGTAGGAAATTTAAATTAGTAGTTCGTTTTGTTATTCGGCGAAGCGCGCGCAAGCATTGGCACGACGCACCCGCACGAGCGGTTGCTATAATTCGTCGGATCAGTGCCCGACATCGCGTAGCTGCAATCGGCTCAGTGATAACGCGTCTCGGACGCTGAATTCAGGCCCAATTCAAAACACGATTCAGCTACTTTTGATTTAAAATTGAGATCCTAATATGCTGTTTTGTTTGGAATATACAGCTGAAGCTGAGCTGAAACTTCATCAGTTTAGTTGTTCAGCACCTTCTTTTTTTTGAGATTTTGAGCACTTTTGTTGCTTCAAACGAACAAAATGCACAAATTACAAATGATGGACTATATCTTTAAATTGGTCTCTTGGCATTATTTCTTCTTCCTATAAGTCATTGTCTTCATTGTCTTACGATCTCACATAACTATGCATGTGAAAGACTCATTCAAACACATTGCTGATTCACCATGAGTCCTTGTAGTTTGATGCAGAAAGACTGATACGCACAGTGTTGACCTTTGCTATAATGCGCTACTGGACAAAAATGGCCTTTCCTTACCTTTTTTTGGATGGCCCATAGTAGTAAAATTTATAATGCTGGGGTGCGAACGAATACTTTGTGAATAGAGCAACACCAAATCACTCCATTTCAACAACTTTTTCGGTTTTAGGCCTATATTTTGTTTTCCAGTTTTGGTGGCCCTTATGGTTTTAAGAGTGGACCCGCTTTCACAAATAATGTCATTGTCTGTTAAAACCGTCACAATTGCGGTGTACACCAGTGCATAATTCGTATTTTGATTGCTCTCTTTGAACAGACTAAAATGGGATTGGTTCGGATGCTGCAGAACTTCCGTCTGGAGACTTGTGCAGAGACTGAGGTATATTGAAGAAGGCTTGGAACCAGACTGATCACTATAAGTGTTAAGGAGCACATTGTCAAGAAAGGCTCGAACAGTGGGAGCAAGTTATATTTGTTGCCTAACGTACAAGCGTTGCAACCTTTGATTTATTTGTTGCGTGCTGATCAGGAAGGCACACATGCGTCAGTGTGATTGAACGCTATTGGAGTTTCTCAGCTACGGTGCAGCATAAGAATACGGCCAGCTTCTTGCTTTGAATTGTTATGCACATGTACACAGACGAACATGCGTGTGCATAACCTTTAAGGCGCATAGCCAGCTTCTCAGTAACTTTTAAAAAGTGTCCTGCCCTCTTTTGTTTTGTCAGGTCATCTGTCTGTAGTTTTACATCGCCAAAGCAAAGAGTTGCACTGATGCACATTTCAATGGGTGTGATTGTAGTGCAAGTCCAATACTTTGAGCATGAGTTATTAGAATTTCCCTTGGTTTGGTAACTTAAACTGTGTTATCATTATCATTGGTAAAATATTGCGCGGTTAAGGTTATACGGGGGCATATATGCTCGTTGCTCTCAACTACTCTCTGCTGAACGTACACGAAAACGTCATATTTCATATGGTTTGAATCATATACTGTATGTTTGTGTGGTGGTGTACATCCGGGCAACTGCACATTACATTGTACTTTCAATCTTTTTGATTAGATTCCACCAGTCCTGGGCACGCTTGGATTCCTGACTCCACCCAATGGTATCAAACTGTCGGCTGTTCCTCGATCCTAAGGACCTGACCAAGAAGGCTGGACGCACAGCGTTGGAAGATTGTAACCTGATATGATGATATTTCCCACGGAATTCCCAAGTTAGGTGTTATTTGCTCACTAAACATTTAGACATTTTCGTAAGTATCATGGCTGTAACCAAAGTGAGCATCGATAGCTTTTGATTCCATGTCATTTAGACATGTTGCTAAGTATCATAACTGTAACCTCATCAGTGAGCATCGATAGCTTTGGACTGCATGTCAGTTAGACATGTTCCTAAGTATCATAACTGTAACCTCATTAGTGAGCATCGATAGCTTTTGATTCCATGTCATTTAGACATTTTCGTAAGTATAACTGTAACCTCATCAGTGAGCATCGATAGCTTTTGATTCCATGTCATTTAGACATGTTCCTATAAAGTATCATAACTGTAACCTCATTAGTGAGCATCGATAGCTTTGGACTCCATGTCATTTAGACATTTTCGTAAGTATAACTGTAACCTCATCAGTGAGCATCGATAGCTTTTGATTCCATGTCATTTAGACATGTTCCTAAGTATCATAACTGTAACCTCATCAGTGAGCATCGATAGCTTTGGACTGCATGTCATTTAGACATGTTCCTAGGTATCATAACTGTAACCTCATCAGTGAGCATCGATAGCTTTGGACTGCATGTCATTTAGACATGTTCCTAAGTATCATAACTGTAACCTCATCAGTGAGCATCGATAGCTTTGGACTGCATGTCATTAAGACATGTTCCTAGGTATCATAACTGTAACCTCATCAGTGAGCATCGATAGCTTTTGATTCCATGTCATTTAGACATGTTCCTAAGTATCATAACTGTAACCTCATCAGTGAGCATCGATAGCTTTGGACTGCATGTCATTTAGACATGTTCCTAAGTATCATAACTGTAACCTCATCAGTGAGCATCGATAGCTTTGGACTGCATGTCATTTAGACATGTTCCTAAGTATCATAACTGTAACCTCATCAGTGAGCATCGATAGCTTTGGACTCCATGTCATTTAGACATGTTCCTAAGTATCATAACTGTAACCTCATCAGTGAGCATCGATAGCTTTGGACTGCATGTCATTTAGACATGTTCCTAAGTATCATAACTGTAACCTCATTAGTGAGCATCGATAGCTTTGGACTCCATGTCATTTAGACATTTTCGTAAGTATAACTGTAACCTCATCAGTGAGCATCGATAGCTTTGGACTGCATGTCATTTAGACATGTTCCTAAGTATCATAACTGTAACCTCATCAGTGAGCATCGATAGCTTTGGACTGCATGTCATTTAGACATGTTCCTAAGTATCATAACTGTAACCTCATCAGTGAGCATCGATAGCTTTGGACTCCGTGTCATTTAGACATGTTCCTAAGTATCATAACTGTAACCTCATCAGTGAGCATCGATAGCTTTGGACTCCATGTCATTTAGACATTTTCGTAAGTATCATGGCTGTATAAACCGCATAAGTGAGCAACGATAGCTTTTGATTCCATTGAATTTAGACATTTTTCCTAAGTATCATAACTGTAACCTCATAAGTGATCATCGATAGCTCTGGATTTCATGTCATTTAAGGGAATGATTTGTTTTTAATCTTTGGGGTTTGTAGTTTTGTTTCCTGTTGGAATTTTATCCTGACCTGTTTTTCGAGTTGCCCTGCACACATTTATACGTGTTGGGGTCACAGAAGAAATGTTATTTACAAATGGAGCACTCTTTTCTTGCGTCATTATTTATGACTGAATTTCTTTCACTTAAAATTACATGTTGTGTCATGTTAATTGTAAACGAACGGAAGCTTAATTGGCATAGAGTTATTGAAATATACTTGTAATAACTGTGTTGAACCACCATTTTAACTGAAATAATTTGTGTCCCTTTTTTTCATAAATGGTAGATATGGAATACTGTTTATAGAATTTAAATTGAATATTGAATATTGTTGTTTTCGCTTTAGGTACATTAAAGGCTTTACAGTTATCATAATCTATTTTAGGATCCCCGTGGGGGGAAAATTGAGATTCTTCTTTGAAATTCATGATCAAGCCTGCTATGAGGAAAACCAACCCAATCATGGGCGAATGGAACTTAGAATGAATACTAACAAGCACTGTACTCCTCTTTGGTCTAAAGCCTTGGATAACTTCGAAGATTTAAGTTCCACTTTCTTATAACCCCAGCAAAGCAGCTTGCAATTGCAGATTTTTTAGATTTAAGTAGTGCTTAGGTTTTAGATTTGAAGTTTCAATAAGCAACACAAAGTTTGGAAAAGAAAAACGTCCAAGCACGTATTAAAATCAAATAACAGCGACTTCTTTTATCAAATCGTTTTTGTTGAGAAGAAGTCTTTGCTGCCCAAAATGAGTTTCAACATGGATGTAGGAATACCTCCATGGTTATACAATAGTTGTAAGCTACTAAAGTTGTAAAACAAATCTATAGTGATATTTTTAAAGGCATTTTGAAGTACACGTATTTTAATTGGCTAATAAACTCGAATAATAAAAGGCAAAGATAAAACAAAAAAATTGTACTGGTATTACATTTTGCACTTGTTGAGTAATAATTTGTGCATGCAAATATAAAAAAAAAAATCACTAGAGATTTGCGTTTGTTGAGTGACAAACAAAAAAAGCAGAGTTATCGGGTAGACAACTATTTCATTAAACACGTACTGCCCATCAGTTTAATTGTTGTTTCAGAACAGGAAGAACAAAAAAGAATTAAGAAATTCAGCCTTTTCATGTGGAACGATTTTGTTTTAAGTAAAAAAAAAAGAGCGTCCTTCTGGGTTGGATACATTTTAGTACACTATGCATTAATATTTACACGTACTTGGGGATGGCGTCATCGGTTAATAATGTGCAAACATCGTCATGCAAACAAGAACGTCTGAAAATATAAAATCTACAATGAATGTACAAGTGTGTGTACTTCTGTGATAACACCTAATTTCCGGTTGGATGACGTCACAGCAATACAATCGCAAGGTCAACATTGTACCTGATATTATTTGTGCCACGAACATCGCCACGGTTTCAAATGATGAATTGGATTAAAAATAGGTAAGATTGGATTAAGAATAGATCAGTTTCAAATTTTCCCTTTTATAACGTCCAGTTCGATGACGTCACGAACCTGATACCTCGCAAAGTCGTTTGCGGTTGTTAAAAACATATCTATGGGAAATTTTTTTCGTTAAATTTTGGCAAATCGTTTGGATAAAAATCCAAAATAAACTGAAACGTCCGAAACAGAATGGAAATTCACATGGAGTGCGGTGCGCGTATGCGGCGACTGTTAAAGAAACTCTTAGCTGATTCATTTTTGCTTGCACTTGGAAATAATTGTAAGAAGAGAATAATGTAAATGTTATTGTTTGAACGGAAAAGGGAATATTAAGCAAATTATGCAGGCGCAGTGGCTGCATTTGTAGAAGATCAAAAACATTGTTAACTTGATTCATCATATAATTATACGTGCATTGTATCATTGAGCAACATTCCCGCCCTTACGAGTTTTATCGGCGTGAACTTACAGATTAAAAGTAAAGTTTTGATGCTCTAATTGCAATTATTAGTTTTATTTTGCGAACAAATTATGTAGACAAGACTAGTAAGTGGTAACGCGCATGGATGATGAGTGATGTCATCTTTATTATCCCCAACACATTTTTACAAAATAGCCGACATGAAAACAAACAGCTAGCTTGGCAGCTCCATTTTTGGATGGGTTTATCGGGATGACTCAGTTTGATCCATTATTACAATCTATGACCATTAATTACCTATACAAAAGATGACGATTTACCTATACGCGATGACCTATAGAGCAATTTCATCGCCCTATTTCTTATGGTGGCCCTGGAGGGACATCACACATCGCACATATCATTGCAAATAATTTGCGAAAATATTTGCGATGTCGCAAACTAGTATTATCGTAAATATCTTTGCAAAACAATTACGATGTCGCAAATCTTAGCGCAAATATCTTTGCAAACATCTTGGCAGGTATTTGCGATCTCTCATTATTAGCTCACCACACTTTTGCCACGCAAATGGCTTCGATAGTCGCCCGGTCAAAACGCATAGGATCGGGTAGGCCCTACTCTCAACAGGGTGCATACCTATGTTCCCCGATATGCCTATATGTTCCCCAACCCTATAACCCTTACCCCAAGGATTTGGGGGAACATATATGTATTAGGGAACATATAGCATTGGTGAACATCGGGTATAGACCCTGGCACCCACTGCAGTCCTGTCATCATGTTAACGAAATGAATGCTGGAACTAAAACACCTTTTACACCCTTTGGTTTCTTGACAACTCCAGCCCGGTACAACTATCCATAATATGCAAAAAAGTATGCGACGAAGTATGTGACAGAGTTTGCGACATCGAAAATCGAGACAAACATTTTGCAAATACTGGTAATATATTTGCGATGTGTGATGTCCGTTCAGGGCCACCAAAATTTCTTGTCTGCACTGGCACATGATATTAGGAAAAACAATTGTTTTTGGAAGTTTAAATGTTACCGTCTAGCCCGCCAATATGCAGTATCACATTTCATATTAATATGAGCAAACTGGAAAGGAAAGGTGTATTTTTTAGAACTGTGCGTGAACATTAACATAACAATTAATAATAATAATACAAATTATTTATATAGCGCTTTACAAAGAACAAAGCGCTTAACACTCATCCACAACAAAAAATAACAGGAAAGAAAACAGACACAATACGATTACGAATGGACTTGGAACAGATGTGTCTTCAGGAGACGTTTGAATACAGGCAGCGAGACCCCCTCTCTCAGACAAGAAGGAAGCTCATTCCACACGCGAGGGGCGGCCACAACGAAAGAGCTATCTCCGGCCTTCTTCCTACTTCTAGGGACAGAAACACTGATCTCTATATAAAGACTGGATAGCTAATAAAGAGCCGCACAATGTACGAATTTGACGCCATATTGGTGAGACCGGCTGGTGATCTACAAAGGACAAGTTATCGTTTTTATAGACAGCATGATTTCTTTTGTAAACGTCGCGGTTCACTTGACTTATATTTTGACCACCATCACTGACCAAGGTTCACTACAATTTTTCTAACGTCGTGGTTACTAAAATGCCGCAAATATAACTTTTTCGGCGTTTTGAAATAATAATCACTACGGAAATGTGTCCCTTTTAGAACATCATAATATGTGTACGTGACCAAAATGCGCGTCAACTGTTGATACAACGCGCGCGTATTTACGCGTAGAACGTTCGTATAATACGCGGCCATCTTCGTGAGACCGGGGGCGAATTGGTCAATATGCAAAGTCTACTGTGTGAATGTTGTATGCATATCCGCTATCCAGTCTTTATATAGAGATCAGTGGACAGAAAGCCGGGTCTGATCGGATGATGAGCGGAGTCGCTGTCTGTAAGAGTCAGGAATATTTGAGTGATGTGAATGTAATAGGTCAACCAGATATGATGGAGCTTTTGTGTGGAGAATTTTGTATACAAGGGTGCAGATTTTGAAGGTTATCCTCTGTTTAACAGGTAGCCAATGTAGCTCTGCCAGCAGGCCCTCAGATGGCTGGTCCCGGCCGCATGCGAAGACCAGCCGAGCAGCCTTGTTTTGTAGGCGCTGTAACCGTTTAAGATCTTTCTCACGAGCACCTAGCAAAAGAGAGTTCGCATAATCAAGACGGGACAGGACCAGACTTCTGACGCCGTGATGGCAGGCATCCTGTGTAATAAACCGGCGAATACGCCACAGGTTGCGGATGTGGAAATTAACAGTTTTACACAGAGAGCCAACGTGATGAGACATTGTCAAAGAAGAATCTAGTGTGACTCCTAAATCCTTAATGGATGTGGAAGCTGGAATGGATAAGTCTCCCAATTCTAATTGGAGATCAGGGACACTAGCAACCACATGATTACTGGCGAAAACAATGAACTCAGTCTTGTCTTGGTTAAGCTTCAGCATGTTTTGAGACATCCATTCATTGATCATGAAAACGCAAGATGATAAATTGCCAAGTACCTGATGACAGTCGCCTTTAGATTTAGGTTCAAACTCAGCATAAAGCATCATCTGCATATTCATGAAATGAAATGCCATGCCTACGGATGATCTCACCGATGGGATTGGTGTACATAATGAACCCCAACGGACCTACTACGGATCCCTGGGGTATGGAATAGGTGAAAATGTGCTCTTCAGACAAATCTCCTTTGATGGAAACCTTAGCTGTGCGGTCTTTTAGGTATGTGTTGAACCAAGACTCAACAGTTCCTTTTATTCCAAATTGGCTCTGGAGTCTCTGTAGAAGGATGCCGTGATCGACCGTGTCGAAAGCGGCCTACATGTCAAGCAAGACCATAAAAACAGCTTTGTTTTTAATCAGGGAACAAAGAATATCATTTTTGACCCTAAGAAGGGCAGTCTCGGTACTGTGATGATGCGTGTACGCGGACTGGAACTGTTCACCTAGTTTGTAGCTTTCCATGTGGTCAATAACTTGACGTGTCACGGCCTTCTCTATAACCTTGGACAGAAGAGGTATGTTGGAAACAGGTCGATAACTCTTAAACTGATTTCGGTCAAGTGAACTCTTCTTAATTACAGGAGTTATGATGGAGTGTTTAAGATTTGATGGAATTCACGTGAATTTATGCACGTCGGAAATAACACCAACTTCACGATATAAATCCATCAGGAAGAAACGTTCCTATCTATTAGGCAATCAACTATATGGTTGCGAAGGGCGATTTCTAAAGGTTACGTAACAATTTATTTTGAATGAAACTACATGTGCACAGACATGTTCACGTTGGCGGGTGAAATCTTCGAAAATTTATTTCTCCCATTTGGAAGACCGTATCTTCATGCAACTTTCAGGATTTATTATCCCTATAATGATCCAAGTATGTGCTAAAAGTCGCTGTGATATGTTCATTACTTTCCGTTGAAATTGGAAAAATAGGCCTCGCTACGTGCAATTTTGAAAATTATAACACTGGCATGCGCAATATCTATCAATCTTTTCAAGCCTCACGAATACGAAAGAGGTTCCTATCCATTACGGTGTGCAGTAAACAATGTGATAAAAGCCTCCTTCACGAGTTGTTAATTAACAAATATCACCCTTTTTGCCGGCTTCCATTAGTCGATACCGAGACCCACGCCATGTCAGGCCGAGTGACGCTATAATGAATATGCTAATCTGCATTGACGGTAACCAGTATTGACGATTCGGCATCGATGACGGCGATTTTTTCACTGACATGAAGTTTTGAATTTCTTCTTCAATTAGAATGTACATTTCAATCATACCGAGCATATTTTCTGAGAAACACAACGTTCAAAAGGCCATGTTTTGGGGGGCTCACGAATTTCAATGTTCTGTTACAGCGTCTTAGTACGTAATCGGATTAGCTTTCCCCGACAACGACTGACGCTTTGCCTTCGCAACCATATGGCTGCTAAAGCCCGGTTCTTATACTCGGCGAGAAAGCGAACGCGAATTTGTGACGTCGTGGCAAGTATTCGCGCTGCGAATTCGTAAAAGTTAAACATATTTCAACTAGGACGAATTTCGCAGCGAACGTTTCACGACGTCAAATTCGCTTCGCATTCGCATGAAGTATGAAGCACTGTTAAAGATACCCGTAAATTTACGGACTCCGTAAAGTGCAATATTCAGTATTTTCGGCGTAATTATACGGATCTTTCCGTAAATGCAAACATTAATTATGCTAATTAGCGTGATTACAATCAACCACATCGGCCCAAACATCTACACATAATATAGTACATCTAAGTTCACATTGTAATTTCACCCACAACCGTGTACTCATGTCCAAACTCATGTTAAGGGTTATTTTACGGAATGGAAAAACTTTTCCGGAAATTTTGCTGAGGAAAACGGAGCGCTATAAGTTTATTTACTGGTCTGCAACCTTTAATTTCAAAATGGCGCCTTCCATCGTTTGTTGTCAAATGTGTGCGCCTGCGCTTTACATTCCACGACAGTGGTTTTTTTCAGGGGGGGGGGGGACGGGACCTGGGGGGGCAGCGTTTCAAAAGGGGTCACCAATGGCGGTTCCGCAACAAATGCGCCCAAAATCTGAATGGGACCGATGGACCGTCGTCCGATCACAGCAATTTCGAGCGAACAAGGGGGGGGGGGGGGTAATTTGGGGTTGGAAGGAGCAAAACCTCAATTAACTCCCGTTGGGGGCGCCCTACAGCAAGGCAGCCGCAAACAGAGGGCTTGTTTTCAGGCCAGAAATCGCAGTCAGAGATTTTTTTTCTTGCAATTTTTTGATGAAATATGAGTCATCCATCCTTCCTCGTGCCGAACAAGTGGTTTTGGGGAATTTTTCAAAACCTCGCTTCTTTATAGGTTGCAGACCAGTAAATCGGTCCGAAATTGCCTACGCCGGCCAAATCACGATTTGCATGCCCTCAAAATCTTCAGTATTTGAGCATGCTGTGGGCCATGAACTTGAGGGTTTGTAAAAAATATGGGTGGAAGCCGTGCACAAGACTGTGAGCTTGAAGTTCCGTTCAAACAGGATGAAATTGGGGCCCTTAAAGCGCTCTATTTTGCAATGGAGTGTAGGCATCGTTTTTCAAAATGTCGATGGGCTTCAGGACTATTTTCAGGGGTGATCATCTTCGGATGGAAATTTCTCCTAAAAGTCATCAGTTGACCCCCAAAAATTGAACAGAAAATGAAAGATGATGAAATAAGCTTTAATTTGATGTGTGTCTCGACTCGACACCTTGGAGAGTTGTGAGTATTTTTCCCGAATTTCTGAAGCGGGAGCATTTACCATTGGGGTCTATGGAAGTTTATTTACTGGTCTGCAACCTATAATTTCAAAATGGCGCCTTCCATCGTTTGTTGTCAAATGTGTGCGCCTGCGCTTTACATATTCCACGACAGTGTTTTTTTTTTAAACATGACGACATTGATGGCCCTTTTTCAAAGCTCGGCTTCGTTTCCGATTTCGCTTTATCACTTTTAGCTTTTAATAATGTTTTGATCAAATTTGTAAATAAATCACTTGCTTCCTAACATCATACAGTTATAATAATACAGTTTGATGTTTCTGTGAGATAACATTGACTAATGTTGATAATCTTCAAATTTAGGCACCCAAATAGCACTGTTAGCAGGCGGAGCCGAATGGAGACCGAGTTTTGGAAAATCTCGGTAACAGTCGTCAAATTCAAAATTGTACATGACGCAGCAAAAAGTTCGCCCATACGATCCGAATATATTTGATGCACAAAATCGTCGCTGAATTTCAAGTTTTCTAAATGAAAGCAATGAATATTAATTGTCAACTCACATAAACAAATTTTAATAAAGCAATTAGCGGTTAATTAAACCTATATTAGGCCTATACTCGGAAATACTCGGGCACTATCCGATTGTCGACGAAACGAATTCGGCAAACTTCGGAAAATTTTCGGAAAAAAGGTGGAATTCCTCCCGTTTTAGTCACGTGACGTAAATTGTAATACAATGTATTACCGGAGGCCACCGGACCTAAGATTCATCAGGAATAGTCAGAATCGTTTGGTCTGGGAACCAGACTATATAAAATCGTAAGGATGGTTATTGAGTGCCCTCTACGATACTTTTGTTATATACGTACGCGCGCTGGTATATTGCCATGAATAGTAGACTATTGAGCAACTTTCCAACTTTTGTATAGGCTTGAATTACAAATCAAAGTATACTTTTCGATGCACTAATCATATATTCCATGCACTAATCGTATTAGTTTTGCGAACAAAATTGTGTACACAAGTATGCGCGCGTGGATGAGTATATACTCAATAATGATGTCATCGTTATCCCCCCCCAAAAAAAAAGCCGATATAAAAACAAACATTATAAACAGCTTGGCCGCTCCATTTTTGGATGGGTTTATCGCGATGACTCATTTTGATCCATTATTACAATCTATGATTATATTTATTTACCCACAAAACAGATGCATATAAGGCATTGACGACGACGCTATTGACACTGTACTGCATATTGTACCCGTACCGTAGTGCGATTATACGCTATATTATTATAGCTCCATGTCTGTACTGACCGTGTTTACAAGCGTAGCATCCAGCCCTGCTACCGTACATGCATGTACATGTACATGTACATGTACATAACCGTTTGTGCACATAAAACCAACGGGAACTGGCAACTCAACAAAGTACAATAAACATGGACACGGCAGACTCTGCAACACCTGCTGCTGTGGAGGGCTGGCAACCACCACTATTTAGCACGTCAACATGGTTTCTGATCATCACAGCCTGTGTTCTCCTATTTGTGTAGGTTGAGTATTTTGATATACGGCAATAAGATTGTTCCAGTGTTGAGCGTGCGATCGAAGTGGGCCCTAGCTTGTACTTGTGGCTGTTATTTGAAGGCCTGCACAGTGCATATATATGGTTGGATTAGGTCTAAATAAATGTATACACATTGTAGCCATAATGATGGCAGACTAGGGTGACCGTATGGTAATGGCAAAATTCTGCTAGATGCGCTTCAGAAATCTGCTAGATTTAACACAAATCTGCTAAATCACATATTATTACATGAAATATACATTATAAACACTTATACTCCACATGCAGATGTTATAAAATTTCCTTAAACAAAACAAAAATCAACTGTTAAAAAAACTGTTATTTTTTTTATTTGCACGTGTCTAGCCAGGCTTGCAATGGCCTAAAGTACTTCACTGTGCACATAACTAATACAAGTCAGGGAACCTCAAATTTTTTTTTCAAAACTAATCAGTTAGTCTTTCAAATCCGCCATATTTTTCCGTCAAATCACCAATTTTACGAAATTCTTCAAACAATCTGCTAAAATAAATCATTCTGCTAAATTTTCTGTCCAATTTTTTTGTGTGGAAAAATTGTGTCAAATTTAGCCGAAATTCGGCTAAAACGGTCAGCACTTGTACATAAATATTATAATACATGTACAATACATTTGCATACAGATCCGCTGGCGCACCCAAGGGGAGGGGGCCTTAGGGGGCTTGATCGAGCCATCACATCAAAGGCCATCACAATATAACCTTAATTGGCTGGCCTTGGGGATGAGGGTGTCTGTTAATTTTGGTCGATGGCGTTGGTTTTTTTTTTTTTTTGCGACCACTGCCATATTCACGCTGAACCACGTATACGCTGCGCGTTGCGCAGCGCTATATTTGGGTGCGTTCGACGGTAGCTCACCCCTGCTTCTTTGACAGCATCCCGGCCCACACTACACTGATTGCACAGGGATTTTCTTAGAGCAACCCGGGCGGGTCTCTTACAACATTCCATGTCCACACTGCACTGGTAGCATATAGGGTTGCTCTGAGGGAACCTCTATTGATCCAATTACAATCGTGAGTCGAGGGCCAGTTCTGAGTCCGGAGAACCAATTTCGCTGGAAATGTTTCGTTTCGTTAACATTTTCGCTTCCAGTACGAACTAGCCTGTACATGTGGAAAAAGCCCTCTTAACATGCTAAAACGTATTTAAAACCGATTTAAAAAAAATCAACATGTCCTTTATTACAGCTACGATTACTGGAGCCATCATTATCTGGCCAGATTGGGTATTCCCGGAGGAAACGCAAAGCCGTTTATCGGTAACACCCTTGACTTCATGGGCGACAAAAATGTAAGTAAAGGGACGTGTTGTACGATTCAGTTTGAGTTTACACACTTCAAGGTCAAAGCATGGAGAGATATTATAAAACTGGTTTGCATTTTACAAAGGTATGTGAGGGAGACGAGTTGTAAGGGGAATCGGTCAAGCAGTGTGTTCTTGGCTGAACGAGGATGTTCACGCCCACTATTTGCAGATTCCTAAAATATGAAATATGACGACGACCACTTACCATATTTAATTCTAAATTCTAAGTTACATCGCAATACAGTCGAGTCTCGTTATAACAAACTCGTTCAGACCTAGCCAAATTGTTTGTTGTATCAGAATTGTGTATTAAGAGGAACATCAGTCCCATTCATTGTGCATTTTAATGCACAGTCGGGACCAAGGCCTTATATTTGTTATAACTAGAATTTTGTATTAACAGAGTTTGTACTAACAAGAGTCGACTGTTGTTGGAAATATAGTAATAACGTTCTTTGCTTAAGAAGGTTTTTTTTTATTTCATGACAACTATTTCTCTATAAAGTTGTTATTAAGTGTTTGACATGTAAAGAGAGTTTCCCGAGAAAAGATTACATATTGCGTGTAATCAGTTTTTAGAGTTCAAACTAATCACATGATTCTAGCCACTTTACTCACATTTCAAAAATCTGCGTCTAATTGTTGATGGTTGTGATGTGTGAAGGCTTAGGCCTACTCTACGAAAGCTGGTTAGGAAGAATAAAATAAAAATAATGGAAGTTTTGCTGTAACAGTTTGAAGGTAAAATGTCTGACCATTGCAGGGAATACAAGGATACCACGAGAAGGCATTTGCTCGCTACGGGAAAATATTTGGGTAGGTAGTATGCATGGTTTGTAGTTGATAATACAGTATATTCATTCTTGCTTTTCCTCTTTAATATCGCGATTTGAGGGGAATTTATGAAGACACAAGAAGAGTTTAAGTATGTAGTTGATTAACCCAACCCCCTAAGGGCTCTTTGGGGGTACGTCAAGTACCAAATACCACAGAATACCACATTTGTTGTGCACACTTGTATGGAAAGAAATGCATACTACAGGTTACTACTCAAATTAAAGGTTTTGCCCTTCACCGACGTTTAAACACTGTATACTCAGTGTGTTACCTCCCGAGTGAAAGTTGGAAAAAATCACTCGAACCCACGACCTCCTGCTTTCTAGTGCAGATGTCTTACCACTCGACCACCGAGCCAACGGGATCGGTTGGCTGGATCGAATCTGATGTACATAGCAGCGGGTACCGCATAAACTATTATAAGATGGAATTTTGCGTCGGGGTGATTAAATCAAATTATAGGTTTTGAAATACAATATGACAACGATAACTAAGGCAAACACTCGGAAGTTGATCATATGAAATTCGCAAACCCAAACAGTCTTAAATAGAAAGGGAAGCCTCTCTACCTTAGGAAATATCCGATTATTCAGTAAACATTATTCTCTCTGCCAATATATACAACTTGTGCTTATTACTTTTGTTGAGGTCTTTATTTCTTCGATTTTATCGCTTGTTGGCATTGGTTCTTGTAGTTTTTATGTCGGCTGGCGCCCCGTACTACTGACTGCAGATGTCGATTTCGTCCGGATGTTGTGCATCAAAGATTTCTCTAATTTCAACAATCGGAGAGTAAGTATACACGCTGAAACACAACTTCACCAATATTGATGAGAAATTTACTGTTGACTTTTTGAGACATGATAAAATCGGAGGGCACTGGGTTTGGCTAAATTTTGCAAACTACACAAAACCACACTAAGAAACACACATACGTACAGTATGTCCACCATTTCCCAAAAAGACCACTTGACCTAATGCCCATACACCTGTGCATCAATTAAGGCAGTAGTGGGTGATCCGTTTCAAAGTCAGATGTTTGTAAATCACAAACATCGGTACAACAAAGTTTTCAAAGACAAATTGCATTGTTATAATTTTTTATCGTGTCTTGGATACTGTAATTTCATTGGTCAGGAACGGCCGCGCATCTAGTCCATAAAAAACCCGTTTACTACATAATATACTGTGTTGAATATTCATAATTATGCACTGCGTTGCATTTAAATTACCTCTGCGTTGCACCTCGAGACTGAAAACCACGGTCTTATGTCTGGCAGGAAAGCTCGCAGGTACCAAGTTAATATTTAATTTATTTCACAGTAAGTTACGAGCAACTATCTCTTTTGACTCATTAGCATGATATACTAAACAGTTGTTGACTGCTGAGTGTGATGTTGCATATGGCTCTTTTAACTCCCTCTTACCCCCCCCCCCCCCCCCCGGGTGTTAAAACGCCATATCCAACATCACAGCAGTCTACAGTAATTGTTGGTTCGACATGAAGGACTGTTTTTTAACCAGGCTGAATTCAAATTCGTCCGTAGGCCCTTCATTCGCAATGTGAAGCACTGAAATGACTGTTGTCATCATAATTGATGTGTTTTTTAAAAATATTTTGGAACATCAGAAGCAGGTGATTGACAACAAGCCATTTGACAAGGCATTGAGTGTCCTGAGAGATGACCATTGGAAGGACGTGCGTGTAATCCTTAGTCCAACTTTCAGCGGTTCCAAGATGAAGCTGGTAAGTTGTAGCGTCCAAAAACTGCAGGATTTCTGAAGCTGTACACACCTTTCTTTCTTTTACCAGAGAGGGCCAGACTGATGTCCTCTTCTCTTCGACTAATAATGATACCAGTACCTTTTTATAGACCCCTCAATTTAATAAGTTAATATTTCTGACATTACCGGACGTTCTTTGAACATCTAGATCGTTTTCCGAACAAACATACAACAGAACAAACATACAACCAAAGCGTTCGTGTTTCTCTAATGATTTGAAATTACCAAACACATTTTTGATGTCTTCTGTTCAGATGGCGCCACTCATCAACGGTTGCCTCGATCCTATGATCAGGAAAGTTGCTAAACACCATGAAGAAGGCAAGAGCTTACAGATGAAAGAGTACGTCTACTGTTTTAGAATGACAATATGAATATATGTATTTATTTATAAACGGTCCAGGTCAATAGTTGACCCCGTGCGCAGCGCACCATAAAGGAGGGCAAGTTTTTTTTTTTGAATAAAATGCATTGACAACGAAAGTAACAATTCGGTGTCTATTCGTGCATGCATATCACAGAGGTACAAACAACTATCCTCAAAGATAGACGCTGTATGCATGTGGTCTTTTTTAAAATTAAGCCGCTGACTTTCTGTGTGGGTTTATCGGGCACTTCTTTGTTCTCAGTATCTACGGTGGATATCTGATTGATGCTATCGGCAACTGCGCTTTCGGGCTGACCCTCAACTCGCAGGAAACTGAAAACGACCCCTTTCTCTTCCATGCCAAAGACATTTTTACTCAGAGATTGAACTTGGCAACCTTCGTTATGCGTAAGTATACACTCTACGCCATGGAAGAATACAATGCCAGATATAAGCCTATAATCATGTATGGATTCGGATGAATTATGCTTTGGATTGTTTCAACTGAATTGTGATCGGTGTGCATTACATTTCTGACGGTGCGTTATTATTTCTCTCGGCATACTGAGAAGCTGCACGAAACGGGTGCTCCGATTTCTGAGCAGGTTAACAAAAGCTGGCAAAGGGATAATTTTAGTTGTCACTTTATGTGCGTGTTGTGATAGACCAAAGACAATCGCAACATGTTGTCAACTCAATTTGCACAGATTGTTTCACGGATACCGCCATCTGAATGATCACATGGTAATCTCTGGGGACATTTCACGCAAAATAAGTCCCATCATGCCATTGTATCCTGATCATGATGGGACGTATTTTGAATGCCCAAAAATGTGAAATGATCACAAATATGGCCGCGATTCCGTGAAACGGTCTATGGGGAATGATTTAAGCCAAAAGACCGGTTCATACTTTCACACGAATGTGAATGCGAAGAGAAAATGATACCAGGAAGCCTTCGCTGCGAAATTCAGCGGAGTTGGAATGTGTTCAACTTTTGCGAACTCGCACGGCGAATGCTTGCCGTGACTTTTCGCGTTTGCGTTTGCTGCGTGCAGTATGCATATTAACCGGTCAAAACACTGAGCAGTATAATTACATTACCTGGATACTGTTTTGTTTCGTGTAGTGTTCGCACCATTCCTGGGTCCTGTGCTGAACTATTTCAACGTCAGTACCTTCAAGCGGTCAACTATGGATTTCTTTGAGAACATCATGGACCAGGCAGTGGAACTCCGGAGGAGTGGAGCAGAGCGGGTACAATGTCCTTCAAGTCTATCAAAAAAATCTCTGTCAATCTCATTGGACATATATGTCCATAAGTAGAACGTTTTCCATGAAGATCGTAGTATATGCATCGTCGACTTCTTTATTTATATGCAGTACATTAATGTTTACCCCATTTTTACCAAATTGGGGGTGCCTGGGCATGCAGCGCAAAATATTTGAAGCTTACTGACTGTCGATATGCTGCTCTGTACGAATAGGTAAATACAATTTCTCTCGATATCGGCGGTGCTATTACCAAAGATAGCACGTAAGCCCCGAGTTGAATTGGCTGCTATATATGAAATATAAAAGCTGATCCTCAAAATCAAAATTACCTTATATCAAAATGTTGATTTGTGTGGATTCACCTATCCAGGATATGCCATTTACGGCTTTGTATTTGATGAATACTCATAATTACAGTGAGCCTCAAAGGTATATAGAAAAAGTTACCTACATGCTAGCTGTCCAGACAGCAGTCGAGCATTCGTTCGAAAAAAAACCCCAAATAATGCCGGTGTAGCGTGAATTTAGAACTCTATGAAATACGGACTCGTTTGTATTACATGTATTGCGCATGCCTAAATGAACAATAAGGAGAGTGACTGGTAATACAGGGTGGATAAAAAAACGAAACCGAGATATTATTGCTAATTGGAACAGAAGTGGGGCACATGTGAATCAAAGGGAGATATCCTCTGTTAGGATTGAATCTCCTCTTTAAAATGACACCCTGATCATGTCATTACATTCACGGTTGACTGAGCAGTGACCAATTTTATGAAAGAGTCTATTTATAGAATTGCGCCACTTTTCAATTGTAGTTTTTGTGGTGTCATTTGTCACAGAGTGAAATGCTATGGTTGCCAATCAAGGCAGGTGGTAGACTTGGCCAAGTTTGGGTTGCGCTCGGTCTGTGCCTATAGTAAATCCACGCACAGCGCATACAGTACATAACGCGCGCCCTCATGCGTCGAATCCGGACCATCATGTTAAAAACGTACATGTACATGTATATGTTATTTGATGCAGCAACCCATGTAAGGACATGATCAGGGTGTCATTTTAAAGAGGAGATTCAACCCTGACAGAGGATATTTCCCTTTGATTTACATGTGCCCCACTTCTGTTCCAATTAGCAATAATATCTCGGTTTCGGGGTTTTTTTATCCACCCTGTTTAACGTAAAAGGGTGTCACCAATAGGGTAAAGGAGTCCAGATTTCATATGAGACCCATTTCCATATGGCACCGTTACAGAATATAATAATAGAGTATCCTCCGGCGAGAAACTGCAGACGTCTTTTCGTCGGAATTCAATCACTAGGCCTCCAATCACAAGTCAAGTCACAATATTCAAATGAACTGTGACAAAGGCAGCCCTTTTGATGTCGTTCATTTCCTGTACCCGTGAGACTGGACTTGTGAACCTGCTGACGACAGTTATTGCTCCTTGTTACAGAGAATAGATTTCCTGCAGCTCATGTTAGACGCACACAAGAAATCTGACTTGACGGCTGAAGACAAGGCACAGGCGACCGAGGAAGAGAAGTTGGAAGAGGAACACCGCAAGCGCATGAACAATAAATCCCTGACTATGGATGAACTCAAATCACAGGTGTGTGGTGCTCAGTATGTAAGCAAGTGATGGAGAACCTTATTATTAACATGTTGAATTTCGATTATTACATTTAAACTTCGTGTTCCCGAAAGTTAATCAAGGAAAGGCCTACTCCTATTTGCAACAGTGAATGTTCTCTTTGTTGGCTGACAATGGGGGTTAGATGTTGAGGAATAGAGTGTCCGCTTCAGCAAAGTCTTTTTAAACTCTGTCAATTTGATAGAGTAAAGTTCCACTCTAAAACGTCTGGTTCATATAGTTTCAAGTGAATGAGTGTAATTTCACTCGTTTGAGTTGAGAGATTAATGATTTGTTTATCTGTTACTTTTTTGTCATTGAACAGAATGCTTAATAATCAGTTTCCTTGTTTTGTGGTCTTGGATAGGGATTGACCTTCTTTCTCGGCGGCTATGAGACCTCCAGCACAACGCTGGGCTTCGCCTCCTACCTCCTGGCAACCAACCCGGAAGTTCAGGACAAGTTGGTGAACGAGATTGACACCCTGGCCCCCGGACGCGATGACCTCACCTATGAGAATATCACCAAGATGACCTATCTGGACCAGGTCATATGCGAGACGCTGCGAGTGTATCCTCCCGGCGTCATGTGCGTATTACTGTAAATTCGTTTGTTTGTTTTGTACTAATGTAATCAACGTGTTTTGGCTATTATTATGCAGTTCATGTGTGACTTCTTTCGCAAGTTATACCAAACCTTTCACTGTTTTCGTCTACACCCACTTCCCAGTGCGCTATATCCTGTAGCTGTCAAGCCTTAATTCCTGCAGTTGATCTCTGTTTTAATACCCTCCTATTTGGGCCTACTACAAATTAGCGTTGTACAGCAAATTCGCTTAGTTTTCGGTGGAGTGTTTATTATACTCTTTGTTTTAATAGTCGCCTCGTAATTTCAAACGTGGATTGTACTTTATTTTTTCCTCACTGGCTTTCAATCACTCTGTGCCAACTTCTACTGTGGCTAAATATAGAAAAAAAAGCAGACGACATTAATGTTTTGATGGATAATCAACAGCACTTCTCGTGAGACAAATCGGGACTATCAGTATCAAGGGTACACCATTCCCGAAGGCATAGAGATCTTCTTCTCAATCTGGCAGATCCATCATGATCCAGAGCTGTGGGAGAACCCGGACAAGTTCGACCCCGACAGGTATGTGCATCCAATCTTTCTGTCCCTGTCATTATGCCTGTGATAAAAAAAAAACAGATCCTTTATGGTCCAAGTCAATCACAAGTCAAGCACAAGTCAGTCACAAGTCATTCACAAGTCATTCACAAGTCATCACAAGTCAATCACAAGTCAATCACAAGTCAATCACAAGCCATCCACGAGACAAGCACAAGTCAATCACAAGTCATCAACGAGTCCATCATAAGTCATCTACAACTACAAGTCAATCACAAGTCAATCACAAGTCATCCACAAGTCATCCACAAGTCATCTACGAGTCAATCACAAGTCAGTCACAAGTCAATCACAAGTCATCCACAAGTCATCCACGAGTCAATCACAAGTCAGTCACAAGTCCATCACAAGTCAATCACATGTCAATCACAAGTCAATCACAAACCCACCACAAGTCAGTCACAACAAGTCCATCACAAGTCAATCACAAGTCATCCACAAGTCATCCACAAGTCATCCACAAGTCATCCACGAGTCAATCACAAGTCAGTCACAAGTCCATCACAAGTCAATCACATGTCAATCACAAGTCAATCACAAGTCTGCCACAAGTCAGTCACAAGTCCATCACAAGTCCCCGGCCAAAATATTGGTCAGAGTTTTTGAATTGCCCTCAAGAATCACATTCGTGTAAAATGTCAAAGGAGGTTTTCCTGATTTCTGTTATTAAAGGTAACAAATGCCTTTTTATTTACAGGTTCACACCAGAGCAACGTGAGAAGCGCCATCCATGCGCTTGGATTCCATTTGGTGCCGGCCCTCGCAACTGTGTTGGAATGCGCTTCGCACTGCTGCAGGTTAGTTGTTACAATGATTAGCAATAACAGCTATTCATCTAACGTCAACCAAGATTTTGCCAGGAAAAGGCCACTTAAAGCTACAGTCCATCATTTGCAGCTATCCGAAAAGTAACTGGCGTAATTATTGTTGAACAACATACTTGGTTGAAAGATAGTAAGGGACAAAACTCCCTGTGAAATTAATCTTTCTGGCAAGCTGTAATTTTGAAGTAATTAACGAAAGAAGGCCTTTCCAACGGTACTTCTTAGACGCACCGTAGGAAATTTAAATTAGTAGTTCGTTTTGTTATTCGGCGAAGCGCGCGCAAGCATTGGCACGACGCAAACGCACGCGCGGTTTGCTATAATTCGTCGGATCAGTGTGCGACATCGCGTAGCTGCAATCGGCTCAGTGAGAACGTGTCCCGGACGCTGAATTTAGGCCCAATTCTAAAACACGATTCAGCAACTTTTGATTTAAAATTGAGATCCTAATATACTATTTTTCTTGGAATATACAGCTGAAGCTGAGCTGAAACTTCATCAGGTTAGTTGTTCAGCAGTCAGCACCCTTTTTTTAGATTTTGAGCACTTTTGTTGCTTCAAACGAACAAAATGCACAAATTACAAATGATGGACTATATCTTTAAATTGGTCTCTTGGCTTTTTTTCTTTTTCCTATAAGTCATTGTCTTCATTGTCTAAGTGCGATCTCCCATAACTATGCATGTGGAAGACTCGTTCAAACACATTGCTGACTCACCATGAGTCCTTGTAGTTTGATGCAGAAAGACTGATACGCACAGTGTTGACCTTTGCTATAATGCGCTACTGGACAAAAATGGCCTTTCCTTACCTTTTTTTTTGGATGGCCCATAGTAATAACATTTATAATGCTGGGGTGCGAACGAATACTTTGTGAATAGAGCGACACCAAATCACTCCATTTCAACGACTTTTTCGGTTTTAGGCCTATATTTTGTTTTCCAGTTTTGATGGCCCTTATGGTTTGAAGAGTGGACCCGCTTCAACAAATAATCTCGTTGTCTATTAAAACCGTCACAATTGCGGTGTACACCAGTGCATAATTCGTATTTTGATTGCTCTCTTTGAACAGACCAAAATGGGATTGGTTCGGATGCTGCAGAACTTCCGTCTGGAGACTTGTGCAGAAACTGAGGTATGTTGAAGAAGGCTTGGAACCAGACTGATCACTATAAGTGTTAAGGAGCACATTGTCAAGAAAGGCTCGAACAGTGGGAACAAGTTATATTTGTTGCCTAATGTACAAGCGTTGCAACCTTTGATGTATTTGTTGCGTGCTGATCAGGAAGGCACACATGCGTCAGTGTGGTTGAACGCTATTGCAGTTTCGCAGGTGCAGCATAAAGCCCGGTTCATACTACTCGCGAAAGCATGTGCGAAGCGAAATTCATGTCGTCAACAATGGTGGACGCGCTTCGAATGTATTGTTGACGTCACGAATTTCGCTTTGCTTTCGCTTTCGCGTGAAGTATGAACCGGGCTTAAGAATACGGCCATGCAGCTTCTTGCATTGAACTGTTATGCACATGTTCATAGACGAACATGCGTGTGCAGAACCTTTAAGGCGCATAGCCAGCTTCTCAGTAACTTTTAAAAAGTGTCCTGCCCTCTATTGTTTGGTCAGGTCATCAGTCTGTAGTTTTATATCGCCAAAGCAAAGAGTTGCACTGATGCACATTTCAATGGGTGTGATGCTAGTGCCAGTCCAATACTTTGAGCATGAGTTATTAGAATTTCCCTTGGTTTGGTATTTTAAACTGTGTTATCATTATCATTAGGGAGGTTTCGCAAGCGAACGGATACGCTTACACTTACGCTTAGCTATCCGTATCCGTTTTTTACTTACGTGTAGCGAGCGAGATATGCGTGTCGTCTGCACGTTTAGCGGATAGTGAGTGGCGTATGACGTCATACGTGCAGACGACACGCATATCTCGCTCGCTACACGTAAGTAAAAAACGGATACGGATAGCTAAACGTAAGTGTAAGCGTATCCGTTCGCTTGCGAAACCTCTTTATTGGTAAAATATTGCGCGGTTTAGGTTATACGGGGGCATGCGCGTTGCTGTCGACTATACCCTCTGCTGAACTTACACGAAAACGTCATATTTCGTTAAGTTTGAATCATATATTGTATGTTTGTGTGGTGGTGTACACAACTGCACATTACATTGTACTTTCAATCTTTTTAATTAGATTCCACCAGTCCTGGGCACGCTTGGACTCCTGACTCCACCCAACGGTATCAAACTGTCGGCTGTTCCTCGATCCTAAGGACCTGACTAAGAAGGCTGGACGCACAGCGTTGGAAGATTGTAACCTGATATGATGATATTTCCCACGGAATTCCCAAGTTAGGTGCCATTTGCTCACTAAACATTTAGACATTTTCGTAAGTATCATGGCTGTAACCAAAGTGAGCATCGATAGCTTTTGATTCCATGTCATTTAGACATGTTCCTAGGTATCATAACTGTAACCTCATCAGTGAGCATCGATAGCTTTGGACTCCATGTCATTTAGACATGTTCCTAAGTATCATAACTGTAACCTCATCAGTGAGCATCGATAGCTTTGGACTCCATGTCATTTAGACATGTTCCTAAGTATCATAACTGTAACCTCATCAGTGAGCATCGATAGCTTTTGATTCCATGTCATTTAGACATGTTCCTAAGTATCATAACTGTAACCTCATCAGTGAGCATCGATAGCTTTGGACTGCATATCATTTAGACATTTTCGTAAGTATCATAACTGTAACCTCATCAGTGAGCATCGATAGCTTTGGACTCCATGTCATTTAGACATGTTCCTAAGTATCATAGCTGTAACCTCATCAGTGAGCATCGATAGCTTTGGACTGCATGTCATTTAGACATGTTCCTAAGTATCATAGCTGTAACCTCATCAGTGAGCATCGATAGCTTTGGACTGCATGTCATTTAGACATGTTCCTAAGTATCATAACTGTAACCTCATCAGTGAGCATCGATAGCTTTTGATTCCATGTCATTTAGACATGTTCCTAAGTATCATAACTGTAACCTCATCAGTGAGCATCGATAGCTTTGGACTGCATATCATTTAGACATTTTCGTAAGTATCATAACTGTAACCTCATCAGTGAGCATCGATAGCTTTGGACTCTATGTCATTTAGACATGTTCCTAAGTATCATAGCTGTAACCTCATCAGTGAGCATCGATAGCTTTGGACTGCATGTCATTTAGACATGTTCTAAGTATCATAACTGTAACCTCATCAGTGAGCATCGATAGCTTTGGACTCCATGTCATTTAGACATGTTCCTAAGTATCATAACTGTAACCTCATCAGTGAGCATCGATAGCTTTGGACTCCATGTCATTTAGACATTTTCGTAAGTATCATGGCTGTATAAACCGCATAAGTGAGCAACGATAGCTTTTGATTCCATTTAATTTAGACATTTGTCCTAAGTTTCATAACTGTAACCTAATAGGTGAGCATCGATAGCTCTGGATTTCGTGTCATTTAAGGGAATGATTTGTTTTTAATCTTTGGGGTTTGTAGTTTTGTTTCCTGTTGGAATTTTATCCTGACCTGTTTTTCGAGTTGCCCTGCACACATTTATACGTGTTGGGGTCACAGAAGAAATTTTATTTACAAATGGAGCACTTTATTCTTGCGTCATTATTTATGACTGAATTTCTTTCACTTAAAATTACATGTTGTGTCATGTTAATTGTAAACGAACGGAAGCTTAATTGGCATAGAGTTATTGAAATATACTTGTAATAACTGTGTTGAACCACCATTTTAACTGAAATAGTTTGTGTCACTTTTTTTTTTATAAATGGTAGATATGGAATACTGTTTATAGAATTTAAATTGAATATTGTTGTTTTCGCTTTAGGTACATTAAAGGCTTTACAGTTATCATAATCTATTTTAGGATCCCCGTGGGGGGAAAATTGAGATTCTTCTTTGAAATTCGTGATCAAGCCTGCTATGAGGAAAACCAACCCAATCATGGGCGAATGGAACTTAGAATGAATACTAACAAGCACTGTATTCCTCTTTGGTCTAAAGGCTTGGATAACTTCGAAGATTTAAGTTCTACTTTCTTATAACCCCAGCAAAGCAGCTTGCAATTGCAGATTTTGTAGATTTAAGTAGTGCTTAATTTTTAAATTTGAATTTTCAATAAGCAACACAAAGTTTGAAAAAGAAAAACGTCCAAGCACGTATTAAAATCAAATAACAGCGACTTCTTTTATCAAATCGTTTTTGTTGAGAAGAAGTCTTTGCTGCCCAAAATGAGTTTCAACATGGATGTAGGAATACCTTCATGGTTATACAATAGTTGTAAGCTACTAATGTTGTAAAACAAATCTATAGTGATATTTTTAAAGGTATTTTGAAGTACACGTATTTTAATTGGCTAATTAAGGTAAAAATACTCTTAATATTAAAAGGCAAAGATAAAAAAAAATTGTACTGGTTTTACATTTTGCACTAGTTGAGTAATAATTTGTGCATGCAAATATAAAAAAAAAAATCACTAGAGATTCGCGTTTGTTGAGTGAAAAACAAAAAACGCTGGGTTATCGGGAAGACAACTATTTCATTAAACACGTACTGCCTATCAGTTGAATTGTTGAGGAAAACGGAGCGCTATTTGTTTTCCGGCAGCAAAATTTCCGGAAAGTTTTTCATTCCGTAAAATAAACAGACTCTTAACACGAGTTTGGACATGTGTACACGGTTGTGGGTGAAATTACAATATGTACTTAGATGTACTATATTACGTGTAGGTGTTTGGGCCGATGTGGTTGATTGTAATCACGCTAATTAGCATAATTAATATTTGCATTTACGGAAATATCCGTATAATTACGCCGAAAATACGGAATATTTCACTTTACGGAGTCCGTAAATTTACGGGCATTTTTAACAGTGAGCCCGGTTCATACTCCACGCGAATGCGAATGCGAAGCAAATTCGACGTCATGAAACATTCGCTGCGAAATTCGCCCGAGTTGAAATAATTATGTTCAACTTTTACGAATTCGCAGCGCGAATACTTGCCCTGACGTCACATAATTATTCGCTTTCGCTTTCGCCTTTGCGCCGAGTATGAACCGGGCTTTACGCTGTATCTAAATTAAGGCCGGTTCTTACCAGGCGCAAAACAAACTCGAATTTGTGAGATCAGAGGGCGATAAATTTGCCTCATCACGACCTTGCGGAACAGAAAACCCTGCAACAATTTACCGTACACGTTGAACAACGTGCTGAGGGAAACGGCCTTGAGACTTTGATGTTCAGCTCGTATAGCTCTCCTATGCGGGGCAGGATTAAACGCTCGAGTTGGTTCGAGTCGAGTTGGCTAACGATCGACTTGACCTGATACCAAACATGGATTCCAAGCAGAATTCGGTACTATCTCTTTTCATCGCTGTTGAGCATTCACTAGCCCACTATTGCCCGGCTCTCGATTATGTTGCGTCTTTGGTCGGGAACGCCCTCGTCCCTAGCTGCGGTTTCACGAAAGCTGTCCCAGAAGTTGACATCTTCCCGAGCGGCATCGGTGTCCTAGCCAAGGGTCACCAATTCTCCATCTTCAAGAAATCGCACGCCGATGAGGCAGCCAAGGTGGTTAACTACCTGGTCTCCTGCGACAGCTTCAAGAAATTCCAGGAGGATGCCGCTCGTCTCCGGGAAATTCTGAACGAGGGCATCTATCTGTACGCCATATCCACGGCCGTACTGCACCGTACTGACACCGGCGGTGCCCTGTTGCCTCCGCTATGGCAGGTCAACCCTCGGAGTTATTTTCCTGGGCCGGTCATCAAGCGTGCTTTCGACCAGGTACGCCGCGGTAAAAGTGACGCTTCTGACGGCTCGACTCCTCCCGCCTTTACCACCGGTTCCAACCGGGACCCGGAGTTCAAGCTTGCCTGGTGGAGAGAAGATTGTGGCTTCAACGCTCACCACTATCACTGGCATCAGGTACAAATCGTACTTTTCATATTGGTTTTTTTTTTGCATATGGTGTTCGTTTGTTCCACGGGATCGAAAAGATGCATATCCGTAAATAGTCCATTCGGTTCACGACACTAATTTTACACAAGTTTCCCCTTTCCCCCAAAGAAAACAATCGCATAAAACTACATAAATAACCATCCCATGTAAATTTGTTCTTATAGGAAGTGGCTATCATTACGGCGGCTGTAACGCGATTTTCAAGTTATTAAACGGATTGCAAAATCACCATTGCGAATCTATATCTACCCATCCAACCAGAACGCTTCGGTAGCTCAATTGGTTCACATAGATTTGGCCCGGCGTCCTTGTTCCATTACTCTGCGCGCTTGGGGGCCGGGGCACTCAGTGCCTCCTTTGCAGCGGTTTATTTTGACAGTGTGATGTTCTCTGAGACTCAGTCTGGAGAACCCTGGTCTCAACTCCTTGAAATCCGCTATTGTGATGGCATCATTGTTATGTTAATTAAGGCTGCATGTCCACCAGCCTGTCACTGGGCCCGCCCGGGATTTTTCCCCAAAACGACATAACTGATGGGGTGTAGGCCTATGAGGTTATGGACTTCACTTTACTTACCTAAAAACATGAGAGAAAAAATTGATTGATATATATAAAAAAAAAAAAAAATAACCCCGATGAAATTCAGACTTTCAATCCTTTTTTTTTTTAAACAAATCCTCCAAAGCCACAAATTCGAAAAACAATCAAAAACTGGATAAATGTTTCTTGACATGAGCAGAAACATAATACCGTACTTAAGGCATGCTGTTGTTTTGTGGTGCACGTTTTGCCGAAATCTCGAGGAAATAGGAGCTACTGCCTTAGCATCACTAAATATGAGATTCGTTTTATACCAAATATAACCCAAAATACCAATGCCTCGAGTATCCTGGCCGCTTACCTTCTGAAATTGAGACCAGAGCTTCAACTTTTATCAACTAAGACGTACATTGTGATCATGTGATGTGAATTTATATTTTCTAAAAGAAGAAGGAGTCTTCGCAAAGCATCGGACACCGTTCTGAGAATTCTGTCACACTGGAAACTGTATAACTTAAAAAAGTAACTTGACTTAGCAGCTTTGCGCATTGCGGTCGTGCCATGGGACTCTTTTTTGTCTGGTAGTTAGCACTGTTAATTAAAGTGCGATTGTCGATCTTCCCCGAAATTCCGTTTTAACAGCCAAAGATTTGAAAGCAGCGTGTATACTGTAGGGGAGACCGGGGATGAACGTTACAAAATTTACATTTTGCGCCAAATAATTGTAATGAAAGAACTCTAACACTCCATCTTGGGTATGTGGGTAGCCCATTATGTTTACTATAACCTGAAGTATACAAAACATGAAAACATCAAACAACTAATTAACTACTAATTAATTAATGAAGGTAAATTCTTGTAACAACCCACCCCGCATACCGGGTAAGTTGTTACACCATACGGGGTAAGTTGTTACACAGTTGTTACACCATAGGGGTAAGTTGTTACAATATGTAAACAACTTATATCCCTCATTGTGTCGTACAATAGTAAATACCATCTCATTCTACTATCAAGAAAGCAACTGCTTTGTCACTTAAGGTGTATAATTAAGTAACTACTTGTTCATTCCAGCAATAAACTGAACATTTGTTTTAATTTGAAACACCTGAAATATAGCTAAAATGCCTCTTTGTGATCGATAAGGATCACTTTCAACAAGTTAGTCACTGTCTGTGTCCATCATTTCGCAATCATCACACAGGTAGCTTTTCCTTCCATTTGTACAGTATGGGACCATCCTGAGCAGTCCATGCACTGGACCCATTGCTCTCCAGATGCAGAGTTGGAAAATAAGTCATCACATACCAGACACCTGTCTTCCTTTTGTAGGTTCTTGGCATCATTAATACAGTAGCTCAATCTGTAGGTAAAGCAAAACAGACAAATGAAATATTTACAGCTGAAAATATACACAAAATATAGTTCAACATACGTAAAATGTAATTGGGGTAAGTTGTTACATTGACACGGGGTAGGTTGTTACAGTGTAACAACCTACCCCAAAGGGTATTTTACACATAAAATGTACTGTAACTCAACCTTCAGGCAGAATTACAGGTCATGACCTGGGGATATATTAGTGACCTAAATTTACTATATTTACAATATCAAGTTAGCGTTATGCACCTCCAGTTGTTAGAGCTATTACGAAATTCAAGTTTTGTCAGAAAGTTACTAGGAAAGGACAAAAAAGGTTTTTTTTACTTACTTTTTGAGTAGGAGATTGGAGAAAGCTCACGATCAGCAGTATACCCTAGCTACCTGTAGGCAACATATGGATGGTAGTTAGCCCGCCCTCTCTTGTTCCTGCTTTGCAGACTGAGAACTGTAACAACTTACCCGTGTAACTTCCATCCCCGGTCTCCCCTACGTGCAAGTGAACAGGGCATGTTTAATAATTCAATAGCCGTCCTATAGTAGATCATATAGAATTTCATAGACGGACCTTACCTGTTGTACTGAACAATCGTTTTGTGCGTTGATTGTGCTGGATCCGGGGTATGCAATAAAGGTGTTTGCTTGTGGGAAGAACCTTGGATCGTTCTGTATCTAATCGGTATTTCCTTGAACCATTCACCTGGATTTTTTTCCCGGGATATTTTTCAGTATAAGGCTACTATAATTTCAAGGCTGGCTGTTTGCTCGATATAATTTTCTGTTTCCTTTATTGTTGTTACTGGTGGGAAAAGCAACGAAAGCAAACTCGCATGTATTCACTCAATCTGGTACATAGAATTGTGTTTCAGAATTATTCAGAAACCCCCATGTCAGTTCAAGTTGCGTGAACCTTACACTATTATAGCACTGAATAGCTCGGTAAATGTTCCACCTGTTTTCTTTCACCAACTATCGCCCCACTTTTCGTTTTCCCATTTTTTTTTCTGAGCAGGTCAATACGATCAGATAACTCAGCTAAGCTTGACTCAGCTCACCTCAGGTTAGACCATATCGGCCGAGGCTTGCAGCCAAGCTCAGCTATACAGCTCAGCTTAAATTAGCTCAGCTCATTACAGCTCACCAATGCTGCCACTCAACGCTTGTGTTACCCTTTTTGTGTTGTCCAGTCCTATCCATGGCGTGGTGTCAACGGAGTAACCAAGGACCGTCAGGGGGAGCTGTTCTACTACATGCATCAGCAGATGTTGGCCCGTTACGATGCTGAGAGGCTGGCCGTAGGCCTTATGAGGGTGGATCCCTACTCCAACTGGCACCTTCCCATCCCGGTAAATTAAAAGTTTTAAAAGGACATTGGTATCGATCGCGTATATTCATGCATAAATCAAATGTGTCTTCTCCCCTACTTTCACAACTGGTGCTTTGAACCTGACATTGTGGTAAAGGAGCCTGAAGATCTGGTTGGCTGAAGTATGACTGAAATTTGGGTTTGCGGTAACATCGTGTATTTAGGTATCTTTTATGAGTTTGTTTGGTTCTGAAAAGAATCGTTTGACATGTTGTTCTGCAGGAAGGGTATAACCCACAGCTGACCGACTACTACGGGGCCTACCAGTTCGCTGCGCGGCCCGCAGGGATGATCCTAGCCGACAATTGGCGCGATCCCTCGGATCCTACGCTGATCATCCAACAGGAGTACCATCGCAACCGACTACTGGATGCCATCAACACTGGCAAGTTTGAAAAGGTTGGTGAGAAATGCAGAGAACTAGTAAAGTTGGTGTATACGTGATTTTTTTCGGTGTTGCACCTTGAAAAATAGATTTTCAAATTGGATTGATAATTTTATGAATTACATTAATCAAGAGCTTTCCAATGAGACATCGCACGAAAAAAGCGGCCCACGACAATTAAGTAATCAATTTATTAATTTCAAGCTTTGAGCGGGACGCTTCTAATTCGTTCAGAATATTGTGCGCTATTTCTGAACTGGAGCGCGCCTTTAAAATGACCTATTTTTAAACTGTATACAGGCCTGCAAAAATATCCAAGCACATTTATTGTTACATGACATTATACTCCTTTAAATTTCGTTCGCAAAAGAATATCGAAATTTTGAAGGAAAAACATCTTTAGTAAACAGAATACAGAAACTGTTTTCGGATTTGTTTTGGAGGAAATCATTTTATTCTTATAATTGTGTGGGTTTTTTTAGCGTGTGGCTTTTTGGATTAATACAACCGTTAAAATCGAACCCATGCCCCTTTAAAAAAAACAAGTGATTTTCAAACTCAGTAAGCAGGCGCTAAGATAATGCGGTAAACGCGAGAAGTAAATGTTGATTAGTTATGCAATTACAGTTTATACATAAAGTTTCACTATACCTACTAAAACGCGTGTTTTTTTTTTTTGATGCTGTGCACAGAACGATGGCACCAAAGTGGACGTCGACATCAATGGTCTGGGCGCGGCCATAGAGGCTAATGCCAGCACACCCAATAAAGACCTGTACGGCTCTGTGGGGATCCACAACCGCGGTCACGATATCCTGGCTGGAATCACGGATCCAGACTACCGCTACAATCAGGTGCGTCAGAAGGAACATCTTGGCGTATGTCTTGGCCCAAATGCACTTTAGGGGAAGAGAAAGGCATACGATAGCTTGCCTGCAACCTCAGTGTGCCTCACTCCAGCTCCCCGATAATTGTGTGTACGAAATAGTTGAGCCCATCGCAAGTCATCAGAAGTCCTCCATGCACAAATCTATCACTTGTCCTCCAGTCTCAAGTCACACACACCAACTGTTACAAAAGGAGTCTTTGTAATGTTCATCCTTTTTTTTAAACTTTCATTTCTTTCTGGTAATGAAACCAAGGATTCGTCAAAAGTGCCCAAGGCACTGTAGCTCGAAAGCCTGAAGAAAGCTGTACGGAATGAGAAGAAATTACAGTTTTAGAGGTGGGAGGAAAAGCCCAGAGGAATATTCTGAGGAAAACCCACGGAATCAGGTAGGGACTGAATATCAATTCCACATATTGGCCCAGGGCGGGATTCGAACCCAGGTCACAGCAGTGGAAGGCGAGGAAAGAACCGCTACGCCAATCAGACTCCCCGACTGGTGTTCGCAATACATGTAGCACTTTTGAAATTACTTGTGCTTTACGTGCGACCAGACTTGTGATAGACTTGTGATGGACTCATCAGAGAGATTGAAAGGAGGACACTCCGTAGGCCGCAATCCTAACATGTTATATAAGATGATGGTGTGGTGTTTTGATAATTTGGTTGTGGCCTAGAACTTTAACCCACGTGTGTCATAAAGTACCAAATGCTCTTAACTTTCCATGAGCCATAGGCAAGCGGGAAACAACATCAAGACTTCCTGTTTCATAATATTAACCGTTTCTGACGGCATGTTGTGTTTTCCACAAGGCTGGGGGAGTTATGGGCGACATCTCAGCTGCCATCCGGGACCCGATCTTCTTTCGCTGGCACAAATTCGTCGATGATCTGTTCTTCCTGCATAAGATCAAGTTGGCGCCATACACCCAGACTGATCTGGAATTCCAGAATGTTCAAGTGGACTCTGTGCAGGTGCAGGTAGGTCAAACTTTAAGCCTGATATTATTTGGGTAATCTGTGGCAGTGTTGTAGTCAAGGCTACCAGAAGTACATCACAACAAGGGCGGATCCAGGGCGGGCCCCCCCCAAAAAAAAAAAAAAAAAAAAACGAAACCAATTTTTTTTTTATGTGACATCGCAATAAAGGCAGGCAATGAGTACACCACCATCTTTTCCTTAAAAAAACATTGGTTAAAGTGGTCAGAAATTGCCTCAGATCGCACCACAGAGCATCTAGAATCCAAAAAAATTTAGGGGCCCTTAAGCGGGCCCCGAACCCCACGCTGTAATTTTTTTTACCCACTTTTTGGGGGGACCAACAATTTTTTTGGCCCCCAAAAATTGTGTTCTGGATCCGCCCTTGCATCACAAGCCCTGTCACAAGTCCTATCATGGGTCTGGTCAAAATAACAAAGTGAACAAAAATAAAAGAGATCTTATTTTGTTTGTTCATTTGCTTAGCATGCAGCTGGACTAAAGGACAGGCGGACTTGTGATGATGTTCTTGTTTTGAATTGTGGTGGACTATAATAGTCCAATACAGCGTTAGCTCTGTCCCTACTTCAATTAATGGGCGATCCGTGTTCAGTGTATAAATATATCCCACCATCACTCAATTTGTTTGCTTATTTGGCGTTATTGTTGAACTGACAGGTGATCAATCCAGCTCGGCCTGCCAACACTCTGATCACTCGCATGGAGGACGTTGTGGTGGACATCGCCAATGACATGTTCCTGGACCCAAATGACAAGCCTAATACTGAAGTCAAAGTGAGTGTTAATGCTCATTGTAAGTACAGTGCACAGGCAACCACCCGACGCTCTTTCAAACAAAATAAAACAAAACAAAAACAATCGCTATCCTTTTAGGACGTAATATATCATGCGACCAAAGGTCAACACCCTTAGAATCCACTAGATATACTTGACTTACTTGACTTAAATGCTCAGTCCCATTGGAACCCTTGCGCTCCCCTGGCGTAGACAACCTCGAATGCTCTCACGGTCTGATGCTCGTCGTTCGGCTGTTGCTATTGGTAGGCCAGTTTTTTTAGGTCTGCCACGAGGTCTTGGGTTCGTGAAATCCTGCCAGTATGCTCTAGCTACATAGCTGTCCGGTGGCCTTCTTGCTACATGGCCAATCGCCTGATGACTTCTGTGATCGCGAGTTGCACTTTCAGCTGTTCCCGCACTGTGATGTTGGTGAGTCGGTCTCGGAGAGTCACTCCGAGGATGGCTCTAAGACAGCGCACATTTCGAAGGACTCTAGCTTACGATGGTCTTCTGCTTTGAGGGTCCATGTTTCTGCAGCGTATGTCGCGATAGGAAAGATGAGTGCTTGGAATACATACATGCTTATATAACGTAGTATTAACACAGTTTGCATAAACATTGCATGCAAAAGATCAATTTGGTTTGAATACAAATTTGAATCCCACATTCATCGTTCCAACTTACCTATAGATGACTGAAATCCTAGGCCCATCCTAGTATTATCCGTGATGCGAAGGATAACGACAAATGACGGGAATAAGTGCCAAAGGGCTTCTGTTATTGTCAAAGCCAAATATTCTTGTTCAACAGGTAACCGTGAAACAGGTGAACCACGATAAATTTAGTTACGAAGTGGGAGTTACCAACAGCAGCGGGGCACCATTGAAGGCAGCCTTCCGCATCTTCATTGCGCCCTCTCTCGACGAGTATGGGACTCAATATCAGTTGGACTCTCAGCGCCGCCTTTTTATCGAGATGGACAAGTTCGTGACAACACGTGAGTAAAATGGTTTGTCTGGACGTTTTGCAGATTTCTAATGAAATAAGAAGAGTAAAGGCGAAGCATCTTGAAGTCAAATATCAAAACAATAATGACAACTCCTAAAATGCCCAATGTCGGTCAGGGACAAACATTTTAGTTATGTCACACTTATCAATGTCCACGAGGTCTTTTTCAGCTATAGGGGATCGTTGACCATGATGTTACTAGGTGACAACATCCTAAAAACAGGGGCTGGAGTTTTAATTGGTCTCTCGCATCTGATCAGGGAGTTCGTAGGTCACTATATACGATCCTCTGATGGTCTCAAGCAACTAGCAGTGTAATTACCAATGTCAGCTTCCTTTATTCACAGTGAAAACTGGTAGCAGTGCCATCACACGCAGCTCAACCCGCTCCTCCATTATCAAACCACGAGAGCTTACCATTGCAGAGCTGAAGAAGAGAGGCACCACAACGAAGAAGGGAGCAGACGACGGCTCCACATGCCGAGCAGACCGCTACTGCGAGTGCGGCTGGCCCGAGCACATGCTGGTACCCAGGGGCACAGCGGCAGGCATGCCCTTTGACCTCTTCGTCATGGTTACCAACTGGGCCAACGACAGCAGCACGGACGACCTGGATCGGGGTACCAGTTACTGCGGCGTGAAGGACAAGACCTACCCGGACAAGCGCCCCATGGGATTCCCCTTCGACCGCAAGATAGACAGCGCCCTCTACAAGCATGTGGCCGACTTCGCAAATGGCTTCTCTAACATGATGACGCTCCCGATTAAAATCACATGCGTGTGAGGTGGGTCCTGAAACGCGCGTTTGATCTGTTAAGTCTCTGGCGGAATTTGTAATCACGAAACCGGGATTTAGACAATTGTAGGAGTTTGTCAGTTATTGGAAATAAATCATTTTGAAATATTAAGCTAAATAGTAAACTAGTTTTTTGGCGCAATTTGAGGTCGTAAATAGTTATCAGTGAAACAGTAAAAAACGTTAATTATTATCATACACGAATCCAAGTAAATGATGCACATCGGTTCACACCTTTTAACATTTTGAAAATTGTTTCTGCTAAGAACGGCAAATAGTTTCGGCTATTTTACTTTTATGTGTACTTTGAAAATTGTGTAAAGGAATTTTGTCATTAGTGAGGCAACCAAATGCAGCTTACTAATTGTAATGCTTTGTTTTATACCTGCTTAAATTACGAACAAAATCTCGCAAACATGCAACAACAAATTCACACTCCCTCTTAGGTAAATGTTTGCAATACTCAGACAAAATATATATTTATTATATCATTTTATTTTCATACACATGTATTTTCAATTTAGAGGCAAATGCTAAATGCCAACAATGATCGTAAACATGGGCGTCGCGAGGGGGGGGGGGCAAGGGGGCGCTTGCCCCCTCCCCTCGAAAGCACACCCAAAAAAAAATGGAAGAAAAAAAACGAGAAAAAAGAAGAAGAAAAAGAGGTGCGAAGTCATATTGGTGTAAACTTAATGGGTTTGGGAGAGGGGGCAAAATGTCCCTGCCCCCTCTTAAACTGATAAATCGACAATATAATGAGAAATACAGGAATTTTTGGGGAAAACATGTTTTGCCCCCTCTAGAAAAAAATCCTGGCGTTTTTAAAAGAAAAAACAGCGTTTTTAATTGTTTGTGTGTGTATTTTTGAATTAGCTATAATTGTACGGTTTAGGAAGAAAGCAGTGAAAAGCCAAATGTCTAATTCACAAGGAATCACAGAATAAGTTCTTATTAGAATTCACCGTTTAAGTCGAGTACAAACGTGATGACGAGTCTGATATAGTTTCTGAAACCAAAAACTATTTGTATGAAACGTGTATGTATAGCTGCCAGGGTCATTTATCGTATTATCTAAAAAAAAAAGTATAATCTTTGCCTATACTTACAAAAGGAACTAAACAACGTATTTACAAAAGCCAAAACAGGATTACATTGCTTTTTATACAACACCTGAATAAATCCCCGTCATTTGATTGGTGGATCGTTGATCCCATGTCATTGAATTATTCGTACTAACGCACGGTGTGCGCGTGGCGCGCAGCGCACAGAGCAATGGAAGTTCTATTGCACGGTGAATAGAACTTCCATTGCACGGTGTCACTGCTGCTGGTGGTGGCGCCGTTTTAAATCGAGATAAATTGAACATGATTGTTCTCAACCTGTTGAACAGTTTGCATTAATATAAATACGATGAACTTGTTGAACTTTTAAACAGTTTTTAACCTGAATAAATTGGCTATTGAAAGTCAATCAATCAGATGACAAGGATTTATTCAGGTGTTATATTATACAAATAATGAATGTTTGTGAGTGCAATGGTAAGAATAATTTCATGAGGTGACAGATGAAGTGTTCCATTCCACGAGGCGAAGCCGAGTGAAATGGAACATTTCATCTGTCATCACCGAATGAAATTATTCTTTTTATTGCACGAACGTGAAACATTCATTGTTTGTTTTATATAACAACTGAATGAATCCTCGTCATCTGATTTGATGACTTTAAATAGCCAATTTTATTCAAGTTAAAAATTGTTTACAAGTTTGACATGTTCAGAGTTATCATATTTAATTTATGCAAACTGTTCAAAAGGTTGAGAACTATCATATTTAATTTATCTCAATTTAAAACTTTTCCATAAGTTTAGAACTTAAACAGTTCAATAAGTTCAGAACTTTTATTGCCAATTTAAACACCACAGCGCCACCTTGCCAACAAGTGCAGTGACAGTGCAATGGTACTTCTAATCACAGAGCAATAGAACTTCTATTGCACTGTGCGCTGCGCGCCACGCGCGCGCCGTGCGTTGGTACGAATATTTCAATGACATGTGATCAACGATCCACCAATCAGATGACGGGGATTTATTCAGGCGTTGTATAAAAAAACAAATAATGAATGTTTCACGTTCGTGCAATGGCAAGAATAATTTCATTCGGTGACAGACGAAATGTCCCATTCCACTCGGCTTCGCCCCGTGGAATGGAACATTTCATCTGTCACCTCAAGAAATTATTCTTACCATTGCACTCACAAACATTCATTATTTGTATACTAACGGTAGCTGACCTATACGTACCAGACTTCAAGTTCGTGCTTGTGAACACGGACAGTATACATGTATTATGTTAGTCTTGGCCAAAGACGTCAGTGATCAAAAGCGCGTATAGTTGCAATGTTGTGTAGCGCCCTTGCATAATTGGGTGTTTTTTTTTACCTGCTCGCACTTATGTCTTGGTCATTTCGTAGTAATGGGAGCGTGGCCATTGATGTAAATAGGACCGTCTGTATAGATTCGAACCAAACAGCAGTTCCTATATATTTGACGCAGTGGTCGCGCCCTCGCGCGGGGGTATCTTTGCGTTGCGCGATGTTGCTTGATCACCTAACGTATAGCGAGAATGTTTACAACCGTCGGGCGAGCCATTGAACCTTTTCTTGATCGCTAATTTGTTCCCTAGGAAAGCCTAGGGAGAAAACACAGAAAAAGTTAAACCGCTGATACGAAATGGGCAAGACATTATATAATAGTGCGAGTAGGCGCGCTGGTCGCGTAATTTTTATTCCTAGGAGGGTTAGGGGCAATGTCATGAATAATTCATGTTTATCCATGAGAACGGACAATGACATCAACAGCATTGTTGTTAGTTACTCAACTAGTTACAATACATTAAAGCATTTTAAAGAACGGTTGTCGTCGAGCTACCACACAGTAGCCTAGTGGATAGCGAGATGAGCTATGGATACAAAGATCCCTGGTTCCGAATCCACGTCGTCGCTGCTCATTTTCATCAGCTATTTTTCTTCTCCAAATTTATCACTGAGATAATTTTAAATTAAGGGGAAAATAGAACAAGAACCTAAGTCTTGCAATGATTCAAAGGAAAAACTGAATTATTCATGACATTGCCCCTAACTCTCCTAGGAAAAAACTTACGCGCGCTTGTCTAATTGTTGTGCCATTAGAGGGCGCACTATGCACAATCCACTATCAATCACTAGCGTCTTGGGCCAAGACTAGTATTATGTCTGCGACTAGAACCGTGACACATAACGGTACATGTTTTGACAAATTGCGTTGTCTCAGATGCCCTCAAGTGGGTAAATGATGATTGTAACAGTGGATCGAAATGACTCATCGCGATAAAAAATATCAAAAATATGGAGCGACCAGACTCTTTGTTTTTTTATGTTTTCACGAGCCCAATTTTTTTTTTTCAGTGACGTCGCAAAAAAGGCAGCCACTGCATGCGTACACCCAAAGGCGAATCCAGGAATTTTCGGAGGGGGGGGGGTTTCATCGGTAAAAACTTAAACCCGACACTTGGCCTCCGTAAAATCAAAGGGGGGTGGGGGGGGGGGTGGGGGGGCTTGTACCATATTTTCAATGGGGGCGCTGTTCAAATCTGACGATTATTAACACTATATCACATAACAATGTACATGTACCCCCTAACCATGCCCTTACCAAGCATTTTGGGCAAGCTGGACATAAATACTAGCCAAAAATATTTGGTGTCGGAGCGGGGCATTCGCTTTTTTTTCATGAATTTCTATGTGAAAAAATATTGACAGAGCTGGGGGGGGGGGTCCCCCCCCCACCTTACCACCGCCTGACACCACCATATTTTGCTCGAAAAAAATTGGTTAAAGTGGGAAGTACTAGGTATTCCCTCAAATTGCAGCACCGCAGAGCATGCAACTAATATCCAAATAAACCGTGCCCTTAAGCGGTCCCCGAACCCCACGCCGTAATTTTTTGGCCGCCCCCTTTTTTTGGGGGGGGGGATATTTGTTTGGGCCCCCCCCCCCCAAAAAAAATGTGTTCTGGATCCGCCCTTGTGACTTATGGCGATGCTCAGCAGAGCGGACAATAACTATCAAAAAATTGGTTAAAAGCTGGCAGGGTAATACTGATGGTCGCAGTTGTGAGTTGCTGATTATACTAAACTTTACATTTATTATTTATTCGCCCCTCTTCTCTTCTTCCCCCCCCCCCCCCACTTTTTCGTCTTTAATTCTTTTTTGTTAGTTTTTGTTATGCTTTTCTGAGGGAGGGGGCAAGTAATCCCCTTGCCCCTCCCCCACGCCCATATGCAGTGTCACTTTTCGAAAAGTAAAATGTTCCTGTGCGCGTTCCTTTGGCTTATGGTTTCTTTTAAATTCGAAACTAAATAAAACAATGCTGGTGTCGAGAAACTGGACAGAAGTTGGGAGTATGGTTTCTTTGTCGGCCGCCGGCCTTTTTTTTGCATATCACTAAATTTAATCAGGGACAGTTTCTTCGAAATCGACGTTAATATGCATTATCCTCATTTTACATTTTTATCAAAACTTGGAGTTATTTCTTGTCATATCTTAAATACTTTCAGAGGGTCCTGGCACAAGTCAGAATAAAATCGTGAAACATGCATGGGCCAATTTCATGGAGCTGCTTAGCACACAAATTTGCTTAGCATGAAAAGTCTTCCATGGCAAAAACAGGATTACCAAGCAAATTTCCATGTGATGTATAATTATTATTGCCTGTGTTTGGTATTCATTCAGCTATTGTTTGTAAAGCATAAAAATCACATGGAGTTTTGACTGGTAACCTGCTTTTACTAAGCCAGGGAATTTGTTTGTGCTAAGCACATTTTTGTGCTTAGCAGCTTCATGGAATTGGCCCCTGGTCAAATTTACCATACATCGACTCAACAAGTTCTACATCGCAAGATATTGGAGAAGAATCAATCGAACTCAGCTTTAATACGCTCTCGGATCATTATAAAGACTTCAATGTAGCTTCTTGGTTAGTATATCACAACAAATCAATATAAATCAATCAATCCATCTTCTAAATATCACAACAAAGTTTCAAGCTCGTTAACAAGAAATGTAAAAAGCCATTTTAATAAAGGTTCACAGCAACACCGATATAAATTTAAAGGAAGAACAAAAACCTTTTTCCATTCTAATGTTAATTTTTTTCATACCTCAGGAAATACTCATTCAAACAGCTGAACAAAGTCTTATAGTTCGCTCCGATTTATTTGGCCAAGTTAAACTGGCAGTAACTCGCGATTCTATGGGACTTGCATGGATTGCCGGTGTCATAATTATGAAAATCCAACTCGTATGAAAATCAGACTCGTATTCCCTGTTTATTGGTTAAGCCCTCGCACGTGACCAGTCACTTTCTTAATTATCATACTTACGCATGCGCAATACTACCAAAGAGCCCATATTTCATGGAGTCGGATATTCACGCTACACCTGTCGTGTCACGCGCGTCTATGAAAGTGCATGGAATCAGCCACCTCCATAGGCCCACGTGTAAATGCTGACCGTAGCCAAATTGTTCGGACTCCGCCTTTCTAGCTATATGGTTCTCATAACACTTCAGACATTAATTTACATAATTGTTCTTGTTCACCTCCACCAGTTTTACTATACAAAATTTGCGTACCATAAGCAAGTGAGAAATCGGCTTCACTTTTTATTTCTGACTCCAACTTGCTTTGTAAAAAGAAAATTCTCGAAACTAACCATAAACTTGTTACCTTCAAGAGAACTTATTCTGTGATGCCTTACGATTTTTTTATTTTGGTTTTCAATATTTTTATTCTAAATCTTACAACAGCCAATTAAAAAACACACCAAAAAAAGCTGTTTTACAGACACTATTGATATTTAGTCTAGACGTTGCCTCTAATTTGAAAATACATGTGCATAAAAATAAAGACTATAATAAACCTATTTTGTCTAAGTATTGCAAATATTAAGCTAATAGGAAGCGTGAATTATTTGCTTTCATATCTTTGCGAGATTTTGTTAGTAATTTCAGCAGGTATAACACAAAGTATGGAATTATATTTAACTAATGACACAATTCAGACCATTAAAATCATTTTCCAGTGCACATAAAAGTAAATGGGCCCAAAACTTTTGCCGGTCTTACCAGAAAGAAATTCCAAAATGTGATAAAAAGATGTTAACCGATATGCATTATTTGCTTGGATTTCGTGTATAACAACAACAGTAAATTGTTTCACTGATAACTATTTAACTAAAAGGCTACATAAACAACCTCAAATTGCGCCAAAAACTAGTTTACTATTTAGCTTAATAATTCAAAATGATATATTTCCAATAACTGACAAACTCGTACAATTGTCTAAATCCCAGATTCGTGTTTACATATTCCGCCAGAGACTAAACAGATCAAACGCGCGTTTCAGGACCCACCTCACACGCATGTGATTTTAATCGGGAGCGTCTTCATGTTAGAGAAGCCCTTGGAGAAGTCGGCCACATGCTTATAGAGGGCGCTGTCTATCTTGCGGTCGAAGGGGAATCCCATGGGGCGCTTGTCCGGGTAGGTCTTGTCCTTCACGCCGCAGTAACTGGTACCCCGATCCAGGTCATCCGTGCTGCTGTCGTTGGCCCAGTTGGTAACCATGACGAAGAGGTCAAAGGGCATGCCTGCCGCTGTGCCCCTGGGTACCAGCATGTGCTCGGGCCAGCCGCACTCGCAGTAGCGGTCTGGTCGGCATGCGCAGCCGTCGTCTGCTTCCTTCGCTGCGGTGCCTCTCTTCTTCAGCTCTGCAATGGTCAGCTCTCGTGGTTTGATGACGGAGGAGCGGGTTGACCTGCGAGTGATGGCATTGCTTCCAGTTTTCACTGTGAATAAAGGAAGCGGACATTGGTAACTATTCTATTAGTTGAACGAGACCAGAGGATCGTATTTAGTGCCTCATACCTCGCCGATCAGATGTGAGAGACCAATTAAAACTCCAGCCCCTGTCAGATTGGTTTTGGGTGTTTCATCATAGATCAACGACCCGCAAGCTGATTGTGGACATTGGTAAGTGTGACATAACTAAAAGGTTTTGCTGACCGACATTCCTTTCAGTGCATTTGGGAGTTGTCATGATTGTTTTGAAACTTCATTTGCAATCTGAAAACGTCGAGATGAACGATTTTACTCACGAGTTGTCACAAACTTGTCCATCTCGATAAAAAGGCGGCGCTGGGAGTCCAACTGATATTGGGTCCCATGCTCGTCGAGAGAGGGCGCAATGAAGATGCGGATGGCTGCCTTCAATGGTGTCCTGCTGTTGCTGGTAACCCCCAGTTTGTAATTAAATCTACCGTGGTTCACCTGTTTCACGGTTACCTGTTGAACAAGAATATGCGGCTTTGACATTAACAGAAGCCCTTTGACACTTATTCATGCCTTTGTCATTATCCTTCACAAAATGTATCACGGATAATAGGATGGGCCTAAGATTTCAGTCCTCTATGTTAAATTGGAACGATGAATGTGGGATTCAAATTCGTATGTAAACCAAGTTGATCTTTGGCATAGCATGTTTGTGCAAACTGTTTTAATACTAACTTACAGAAACATGTACATTTTGTTGTATACATCACCTCCGTTTGAAGTGGATTATAGGGGTGTTTGCCATTGGGACAGATTTCAGCCAAACTCTGGGTCGTGCCGTTAGTATGGATAACTAGAATATACACCCATATCTGGCAGGAATGCCTTCGCAAAAGGAACTTGATTACCTCTCAAAAAATCCTCCGGAGCCACGAATTAGAAAAAGAAAAACATTTCAATACTATTTTTTCCGAACTGCATGCGTCTACATTTTTAATGCAAAGTCGGGTAGACGAATGCAGCTCGCAAAAACGTCAACCAATACATCCCTAATTGTGTGTGACTAGTTATATTAATGCAATATCTGCATATCTTCTTTTGGACTTCGGGGACTTAAAAAATAAAAAAGAGCCTCGGTGGTTGTCTGTGTACTGTACTTAAATGAGCAGTAACACTTACGTTGACTTCAGTATTAGGCTTGTCATTTGGGTTCAGGAACATGTCATTGGCGATGTCCACCACAACGTCCTCCATGCGAGTGATCAGAGTGTTGGCAGGCCGAGCTGGATCGTTCACCTGTCAATTGAGCATTAATGAAAAACAGATAACGCCAATTCAGAAAACCAATTGAGCGAGTGGTAGGATGTACAGGGTAGTCCACAAAAACGGAACCTGAGACTCAAACCACATGTACCAATGCATGGAGAATCTTTTTAGAAGAAAAATGAAACCAAGATCGCCTGATTCGGTCCAGTAGTTTTTGTTCTGGAGCCTATTTTGTGAAGCAAGGTGGGGTCATTTTTGTCCTGATGAATTACTAAACCGCTGCCAGGAATTTGACTAACATTGTAATTGATAGAGGGACATTGTTATCTAATAATACCAGCATGAAAGACGTATCATTCACAAAATAGGCTCTGCAGCAAAATCTACTGGTGCAGTACCGAATCGGGATATTTTGGTATCATAATTCTTCTAAAAAGATTCTCCATCAATTGGTACAGGTGGTTTAAGTCTCAGAGTAGTGGAAGTTTGAAGTTTTTTTGGGACCACCCTGTAGACCCAGCTGACAATAGATGTTATAGACTATTAGTGTATCACAATTTCTAACAAGAGCACCATTACAAGTCCTCCTGTCCTATGTCCAGCCATACGCTAATCAAATTTACAGACAAATGATTTATTTTATTGTTGTTCATCCCCGTTACTTTGACCAGATCCATGACAGGACCTGTGACAGGGCTTGTGATGTACTTCTGGTAGACTGGACTACAGCACGGCCACAGATTACCCAAATAAAATCAGGCTTAAAGTTTGACCTACCTGCACCTGCACAGAGTCCACTTGAACATTCTGGAATTCCAAATCAGTCTGGTTGTATGGCGTCAACTTGATCTTATGCAGGAAGAACAGATCATCGACGAATTTGTGCCAGCGGAAGAAGATCGGGTCCCGGATGGCAGCGGAGGTGTCGCCCATAACTCCCCCGGCCTTGTGGAAAACATAACATGCAGTCAGAAACAGTTAAAGGGAATGTAATGTATCATTGGCTTTTGCAGTAATTGTAAGAAATAAACTATTTGAGGGGTTAGTATAATGATCAAATTTTGTTACACTGACATGTTCGAAGTTTTTTGTTCGACAATGCTTGAAAAACCAAGAAAAACAAAAATGTTCAAGTAGTCTGGTTCCCTGACTCCACTAAAGATAAAATGGATCAGTTTCCAGATGCCGGAAAATTGTAAGGTAAGGGAACAAGTCTAGCTGGCCTACACCCGTTCATGAACATGTAACCAATACCAAACAAAATTTGAATTGGATAAAAAATGATAAATTTGGAGCAGTAGTTGCAAAATAGTTAGGTTTTTCCAACGGTGGTCGGCCGGTATTTCGTAAAAACTTGGTAGTTTTATTTTTCGATGTTTGCAAATGTTGTATATTCCCTTTAATATCAGAAAACAGGAAGTCGTGATGTTGATTCCCGGTAGCCTAGATCTTGCTCTTTGAAAGTTAAGAGCTTGTGGTGCTTTATGACACACCGTTTCTAGGCCACTAATTATTAAACACCACACCATCATCTTAGATAACATTTTAGGACTGTAGCCTTACGAAGTGTCCTCCTTCAATCTCTTTCAATCTCCTACCTCTCAGTGTTGTAGATGAGTCCATCACAAGTCTATCACAGGTCTGTCACACGTAAAGCACAAGTGATTTCAAAAGTCCTATTGCAAGCATCGGTGGATGAACATTATACGAAGACTTCTTTTGTAACAGTAAATGTGTGGGACTTGAGACTGGGGGACATGTGATGGACTTGTGCATGGACGTATGAGGACTCCTGGTGACTTGCGATGGGCTCAACTAAAATATTGTTCGTACACACAATTGAGGAGTGGAACACACTGACGCTGCAAGATAAGCTAAGCCCAAGCTATTACAAGCCTTTCTCTTCCCCTAAAGTGCATTTAGGCCAAAACATACTCCAAGGTGAATTCTGACGCACCTGATTGTAGCGGTAGTCTGGATCCGTGATTCCGGCCAGGATGTCGTGACCGCGGTTGTGGATCCCCACAGAACCGTACAGGTCTGGGTTGGGTGTGCTGGCATTAGCCTCTATGGCCGCGCCCAGACCATTGATGTCGACGTCCACTTTGTGGCCATCGGTCTGTGCACAATAATAATGCCACAATAAACAGTGCTTTTGAGGGAGCCGAATTTTAGTAGGTCTACTGAAACATGTTTTGAAAATGTAATTGCAAAACTCATGAACTCGATCTCAAGCTAGAGATTGCATTTATACCTAAAGTTGTAATTCACTTCTCGTGTATCTATACTACAAAAAAAATCAAGAAAAACCTGAACTCTGCCGAAGAGGTGTCTGTTTAATAATCCAGATTTTGACACCAGGGACAATACTCCTCCTTTGATAGTTTTTTTTCTCACCTTTTCAAACTTGCCAGTGTTGATGGCATCCAGAAGTCGGTCGCGATGGTACCCCTGTTGGATGATCAGCGTAGGATCCGAGGGATCGCGCCAATTGTCGGCTAGGATCATCCCTGCGGGCCGCGCAGCGAACTGGTAGGCCCCGTAGTAGTCCGTCAGCTGTGGGTTATACCCTTCCTGCAGAACAACATGTCAAACGATTCTTTTCAGAACCAAACAAACTCATAAAAGATACCTGAATACACGATGTTACCGCAAACCAAATTTCAATCATACTTCAACCAACAAGATCTTCTGGCTCTTTCACAATAGGGTCAATACCACAATTCCAGGTTCAACGCACCGATTGCGAAAGTAGAGAAGCGAAAAAAAAATTGAATTGGCACATATACCGGTAGTGAAAAAAAACCAATTAATATACGCGATCCATGCCAATGCATTTTTAAACTTTTAATTTACCGGGATGGGAAGGTGCCAGTTGGAGTAGGAATCCACCCTCATAAGGCCTACAGCCAGCCTCTCAGCATCGTAACGGGCCAACATCTGCTGATGCATGTAGTAGAACAGCTCCCCCTGACGGTCCTTGGTTACTCCGTTGACACCGCGCCATGGATAGGACTGGACAACACAAAAAGGGTAAAACAAGCGTTGAGTTGCAGCATTGGTGAGCTGTAATGAGCTGAGCTAATTTAAGCCGATATGGTCTTATCTGAGGTGAGCTGAGTCAAACTGAGCTGAGTTGATCTGACCTTATCTTAAACTGAGCTGACGTCGGATCGGTTGACCCTAGCTGAACTGCAGGTGGAATGCAGCGCCAAGCTGACCTGTTATAATCCGATCTGATCTGATTTGATCTTATCTGAGATGTGCTGAAATACAGCTGAGCTGCTGCTGAGCGAAGCTGAGCTTACTTGATGTGCTCTTATCTCCTCTGATCTCAGCGTCGTGTCGTGTGCTCAGCTCAGCTGCAGACACGCTGAGTTGTGCCCGGGGGGATCTGCAGCTATATAGCTGTATTTAGCTGACATATAGACACATTAACTGATGAGCTGGTCTGAGCTAACGTGAGCTGATCCGGACTGATGTGAGAACTAAACTGACTTGATCTCAGCTAATCTGCGCCAAGCCCAGATGAGCTTTTAGCTGGGGTGGAAGACGAGCTGAAGTAAGCTGCAGATCAGGTGAGGCAAGTGGGCTGAGCTATACACGGGATGGGCTTATATTATCTAAGCAGACCCGAGGTGACCTGAGCTGATCGACTTGACCTGAAATTTAGCTGAGCTGAGCTGAGCTGAGATTTGCTGTCAGTCAGCTGAGCTGGTAGCTGAGTTTTATTGGAATTATACCTACAGCTTAGTTGAACACAGTGGCAGCTTATATTATAGATGGAGCTCAGCCCATACTGCCTATATCTGCGCGTGCGCAGCAGACAGCGTTTGATCACAAAGGCTATACATGAAAAAAAGATTGACCTTAGTATACTTCGGATTTATTGTATTGATAGCACAGAAGGATACCGTACAACTGTCTACTCAGATTATTCCGTTAAGCACGGTTCGGTAATCTTTGATTGTTGTGGACATCATTACCTTAACGTGAAGCCCTGTATGGTTCAGAAAAAAATGGAAAACAAAAAGTGAGGAGGAACTTGGTGAATGAAAACCAGGTGGAACATTTATCGAGTTATTCACTGCTATAATGTGAGGTTCATTGAACTTTTCGAATAATTCTGATACACAGTTTAAATGTACTGTATAGACTGATTAAATGCATGTGAGTTTGATTTAGGTGGTCTTCCCACCAGCAAAACAACCACGGAACCAGGAAATCATCGCAAGGAAACAGCCAGCTTTCAATTGATAGGGACTTATATTGCAAAATACCCCTGGAAAAAAAACAGGTGAATGTTCGAGGAAACCGATTAGATATAGAACGATCCAGGGTTTCTTCCCACAAGACCATTTCATTGAATAACCCGGATCTAGCACGATCAATGTACAAAACGATTGTTCAGCACAACCACCACCCCCCCCCCCAAAAAAAAACTTATAATAATAAACAAACAAATTCCCATAGCTTCGTCTATGAAATTCCATATCAGTATTGACTCATAATACCTAACTAACCCTGATCTACTAGGACGGCTATTGAACTTACATGCTCTTGTTCACATGCACATTGCACGCTTATTTTGCTCTTTACATTATTACTTACAACCTAATTTCCGGGAAGATCAACAATCGCACTTTAACAGCGCTGGCTACCAGACATGCATGGCACGACCGCAATGCATAAAGCTGCTTATTTCAACCCGAGCAAAACTATACGCTCATTTGTATGATTATAGTTTCGTAAGTCAAGTTACTTTTTTAAGATGTACAGTTTTCAGTGTGACAGAATTCTCAGAACGGTCTCCGAAGCTTTGCGAAGACTCTATAGTCTTTTAGAAAATGTAAATTCTCATTAAATGTTGTCACAATGAACGTCTGATTTGATTAAAATACAGTTAAATCGCGACAAGTCAAACTCTGATAAATCAAAACAACTGTTAAGTCAAACAAAGAATCCATTCCCTCAGTAATATTACAATGATATACAACCCTGCTTCACTCAAAACTCTGCTAAGTCAAATTTTGAACGTGTTCCCTTGAGGTTTGACTTATCGAGATTTCACTGTAGTTGAAGCTCAAAACAAACTTGGTGGGCGGTTCATGCTTTAATGCGGAAGTCAAATGCAAGTAAATTAGGGCCCGTGCATTGTTTCTTTTTTTTTTTACAATCCTTAAAAATGCACCTTAGTGTCCCATTTAACTATATTTTTAATTTTCTTTTTGCCATTTTCAAGGGTATTTTGGTGCCGTTTTTGTTTTTATGCTTATTCAAATGTCCATATTTCTGAGCAAATCTGTGATACGTCACTATCCGGGCAGAAACCTGAATGTTTACAGCTATTGCAGCCAAAAAGGTTGCCAGAGTTTGGAACATTTTCCTGATTCGTTGTTGTGTCAGTACATGGCAGTAAGCCAATGAGCAAACCAATCTCACAAATGTCTTCAATGAACAAATTTGGGTTTTACAATTTGAACAAAAAAAACCCTAAACTGATAATATCTTCCTGAAATGACATCAGAGCAACAACGCCCTCAGTTGTCCGGAAAAGTATGGACAATTTTGAAGGTTTAAAGAAGTGCACTTTTTGAATAAACGTAACCAAAAAGGGATGTTTAATAGTTTTCATACATTCAAAAATTGAATAAAATGTGCTCCTCAGAAAAATGCATGCATAAACTAAAACCATGTTGAGGAAATCTACATTCTTGCAGTATGTTTCATGGTTTTGCTTGGATGGGCGTCATTCTTTTCCCTTAGAATTATTTTCAGCAAAACATCCGACCAACCCTCAGTTTCATTGGCTAAACAGCTTACAGTGTAAACAGGAGCTAACGTCAGCTGATTCGGGCTGATGTGTGCTGCGGCAGAACTGAATTGACTTGATCTAAGCTAATCTGCGTTAAGCCCAGATGAGCTTTTAGCTTGGGTGGAAGACGAGCTAAAGTAAGCTGCAGATCAGGTGAGGCAAGTGGGCTGAGCTATACACGGGATGGGCTTATAGCTAAGCAGACCCGAGGTGACCTGAGCTGACTTGACCTGAAATTTAGCTGAGCTGAGCTGAGCTGAGATTTGCTGTCAGTCAGCTGAGCTGGTAGCTGAGCTTTATTGTGTTATACCTATACAGCTTTAAGCTGAACACAGCGGCAGCTTATAGATAGAGCTCAGCCCACACTGCCTATGTCTGCGCGTGCGCAGCAGACAGCGCTTGATCACATTTTTGCTTTACATGAAAAAAAAAAGATTGACCTTTACTTCGGTTGTATTGTATTGATTATGGTGGCTTTAAAGGGACATCACACATATATATTGACGCCAATATTGACGCCAATATTCACGACATGGCCCCCATGTCGCAAATATTGACGCCAATATTCACGACATGGACCCAAGTCGCAAATATTGACGCCAATATTCACGACATGGACCCAAGTCGCAAATATTGACGCCAATATTCACGCCAATATTCACGACATGGACCCAAGTCGCAAATATTGACGCCAATATTGACGCCAATATTCACGACATGGTCTCCAAGTCGCAAATATTGACGCCAATATTGACGCCAATATTCACGACATGAACCCCAGTCGCAAATATTGACGCCAATATTGACGCCAATATTCACGACATGGTCTCCCAGTCGCAAATATTGACGCCAATATTCACGACATGGTCTCCAAGTCGCAAATATTGACGCCAATATTCACGCCAATATTCACGACATGGCCCAAGTCGCAAACCCACTCAGGCGTGAATTTTTTTCACAGCAACTTGGGGTGTCCGTTACCCACACAGTCTGGCACTCAGACACACCTATCTCTGGCTGAACGTTCGTCGTGAGGCGCAGAGCGAGCCATGGATGTACATGTACATTGGACGCAAGGTGACCGTTTTAGCCGATTTTCGGCTAACTTTGACAGAATTTTTGTAAAAAACGAGAGTTTGATAGAAAAATTTGACAGAATGGATTTTTGGGGGGCAGATTTCTGGCACAATTCTGCAAAAATGGTTGTCAAGTTGATTTGATGAGAACAGCAAATTTGAACAAAAAATTAACAGCAAATTTGAACAAAAAATGGTACATATGTTTAAAAAAGCTTCAATCCTTTCAAACAAACCCTGGCATAATGGGACAGGTTGGCTGGTCTAGGCAAATACGTTTTGCAAAGTTGCGCTTTTTATTTTTGGGACTCGATCGAGTCGATTCGAGTCTTATTAGCCTTCGCTCGAGTCGAGTCGAGTCTTCTGATGAGGGACTCGAGTCGAGTCGAGTCATTTGCTCGCAGTGACTCGAGTCGAGTCGAGTCATTTGCTTGCAGTGACTCGAGTCAAGTCGAGTCATTTACCTTTAGGGACTTTTTGGGCGATTTCTTATAAAGCTTTTGGATTTGAACACTCGCTAAAGTTATGGCCTCCTTTTATAAATTTTGGTATACATAAGCCGTGTCCGCACTGGACTTTTTTTTTGAAGGTTTTACCGAGACGACGGTAAAATGAAAAATGGTCAAATGTGACCACTGTCCGCACTTGGACTTTCGACACGGGAAATTTTACCCCGACCGCGTGGGAGAAGTAACCGAGCTGTCACAGTGTCAGTATAATGACTCACCGTACGCAGAAAACAAATTGCCGATCACATTTTCAGCCACCGATACGCTCAGTAATATTACACACGCCATTTGCATGCATAACATAATCGTTTACACGATATTATTTCATCTTGACACGCTAAATCTTGACGAAAGGGCCTATAATTCTGACGCATTTGTGATGCACGTCGTCGAAGCCATGCCGCTGTACGATGTTCCGTGCGGCAGCAGTGCCATCAGTATTCGCTGGTTCCCATCGCATGCTTACAGAATCGAAGCTATGATGTGGGCCAGGAACCAGTGACTACGGCCTACGTACGGTACCGGACCATGATGTTCCGTGCATGACTACAGTAGCGTATCAGGACGAATTTGGATCGTAGAAAATAACAATACATCGGTGGAGAAAGAGAATTT